CCTCACCAGCACCTAGAGCAGCAGGCTCTATACCTGGGTCAGGCGGTACGCACAGGTAACAGGCACGGTCAGCACTAGTAGGCAATGCATACATGGCAGTGAGAATAGCATCATAGTCAAGAGCAAAGATATCTACCCTCTGCCCAAGCAGCTCCACTCAGTCGGGGAGCTCAGCCTCGTCGCCAAACTCGGTACGCCAGGCGTCGCTCAGACGGGCGAAGCAACGGGACTGTGTGTGACTGAGCGTCCCGCAAGCCTGACCAGTTCGAGCACCAGTGCGAATGACGTACGGGCAGCGAACGGTACTCAGAGACCCTCTACTCTGAGCGTACCACTCGTGAAGCTGCCGAGACGTAAGTGTCTCGCGTGGACGCCGCTGCAGCTGCAGCTGGCCACTGCCAGACTCTCCCAACTGACCAGCTCCAGGGCGACAGCTACGACGGCTACCGCGACAACCCCAACTATCGTACCACTCACTAAGCTGCTGGGGCGTGCGAGACTCGCGCGGACGTCCCTGGAGCTGAATCTGGCCACCGCCAGTAGCAGCAGTAGCAGTAGTAGCAGCAGTAGCAGCAGTAACAGCAGTAGCAGCAGTAGCAGCAGTAGCAGCGCGGCCACCCCTACAACCCCAACTAGCGTACCACTCACTAAGCTGCTGGGGCGTGAGGGACTCACGCGGACGTCGCTGGAGCTGCATCTGGCCACCGTCAGTAGCAGCAGTAGCAGTAGCAGTAGCAATAGCAGTAGTAGCAGCAGCAGCGCGTGCAAGGCAGGCGCGGCAGGCAGGCAGGCATGCAGGTCGGCAGGCAGGGAGGCAGGCAGCCAGGCAGGCGGCAGCACACGAACAAGGTAGGTGCTCACCAGTGGCGGGAAGGGCAGGCGCACGACGGCGGCGACGGCGGGGCCGCTACAGCTGCGGCAGAGCAGGGCCGCGTCGGCGGTAGGGCAGGTCCGCGACAGCTGCTGCAGGGCGGGGCCGTGACAGCTGCAGGGCGGGGCCGCAACGGCGGCAGAAGGCTTCGCGGCAGCTGCTGCAGGGCGGGGCCGCGAACGCGGCAGGAGGCTCCGCGGCAGCTGCTGCAGGGCACGGCCGCGACCGCGACAGGAGGCTCCGCGACAGCTGCTGCAGGGCAGGGCCGCAACGGCGGCAGAAGGCTCCACGGCAGTTGCTGCTGGGCAGGGCCGTGACTGTGGCAGGGCGCTCCGTGGCAGCTGCTGCAGGAGCGACGGTGGCAGCTGCTGCAGGGCGGCGTCCAGGGGCAGCCACGAGGAACAGGGACAGCCGCGGCGCGCGAGGCTGCAGCGCGCTGCGCGAGCTGCGGGCGCGGCGCGCGGGGCTGCAGCGCGACGCGCGGGCAGCGAACGCGGCGCGCGGGGCTGCAGCGCGAAGCGCGGCCAGCGAACGCGACGCGCGGGGCTGCAGTGCGACGCGCGGGCAGCGGGCGCGACGCGCAGGGCTGCAGCGCGACGTGCGGGCAGCGGATGCGACGCGCGGGGCTGCAGCGCGACGCGCGGGCAGCGGACGCGACGCGCGGGGCTGCAGCGCGACGCGCGGGCAGCGGGCGCAACGCGCGGGGCGGCGACCCGGCCTGACGGGCCTGCAGGGGCGGTTCGCGGGCCTGACGGGCCTGCAGGGGCGGGTAGCGGGCCTGACGGGCCTGCAGGGACGGCTGGCGGCCTGACGAGCCTGCAGGGGCGGCGCTCTGGCCTGACGGGCCTGTAGGGGCGGCGCTCTGGCCTGACGGGCCTGCAGGGGCGGCGCTCTGGCCTGACGGGCCTGCAGGGGCGGCTCGCGGGCCTGACGGGCCTGCAGGGGCGGCTAACGGGCCTGACGGGCCTGCAGGGGCGGCGCACGGGCCTTACGAGGCTGTAGGGGTGGCGCGCGGGCCTTACGGGCCTGCAAGGGCGGCGCGCTGGCCTAGGGCAGCAGTAGGCAGCGCGAGGGCTGCAGGACGGCGCGCGCAGCGCAGCACGTCACAAGGCAAGGCAGGCAGGCGCAGGACAATACGTGGGGTAACGTGGTAACCGCAACGGTAGGTGGGCCCGAAAAAAAACGGTCCTACGGACCTAGTGCTCTGAACCAGGGCTCTTGCTAGGATTTGGGCCTGTCTGAAAACACCAAAGTAAAAAATCGTTCCGTCTGACGATCAGACGGGCAAATTTTTCTGGTCTGATTTTCTATACGAATCTTGGAGCTTAGTCTGATTTTTCAGACTATTTAATTTGCATAGTCTGATTCAGCTAACACCCTTGTCTAGCATAATCACACTTGTTTTTGTTAATGAACGTGCCCCTGGCGCGGCGCTGACAGCTAGCTAGCTGACAGGCGTGTGGCTGTTGAGAGGCATGCACGTGGCATTGAGGTGCTGCGAGGGATCAGGTTGGGTGGAGGGACGCAAGAAGAAAGGGGGGGGGTTGGGCTGTTGCGAGACTTCACGAGGGGCATGGGGAGGGGACATGGGGAGGGGACCTAAGGCTGGGGGAAAGGGGGAGAAGGTCTGGACTAGGCCTAGAAGAGGAGCGAGGGCATCGAAAGGGAGCTTAGAGAAGCGAGGGATCGGGGGGGGGGGGGGGAGGGGGTTCGGTATCAGACGAATTGCAACCCGCTATCTGGAATTTCAGACTAAGTATTAGGCTTGCTCTGAAAAATCAGATGAACTAAATTTCGTAATCTTACGGATCAGACGAACTAAAAATCCTCGTCTTGAAAATCAGATGAAACCCAAAATCAAGATTGAGAAAGCTTGCTTTCTGTTCTTGCAAAGGCATCGTGCTTCATTACAATTGCAGTAATTACAACATTCTCGTCCATCTATAGATTATACGGTACAAGTTTCGTATACGACTAGGGTGGGTGGGTGGGGAGTGGAACTGCAAGTTCCAAATGAAGACGTGGGTGGAGGCAAAATGGCCTCCTACCCTCGTTATGTACTCGGCGAATTGTAATTCGCCGTTGCCTTGCTGCGATACAGTCAGCTGCGCTTTCACAATACGCATTTTTAGAAAGTGTTACACACTTTCAAAAAATTTCATGTCGACCAATTTGGTCTGATAACGAGAGCCCTGATGTGAACTGGCCTTGTGGCCCTTTGCTTGTGCTCATTGTGTGTGGTGACGTTGTGATCCACCCTGAGCTTGCTTTGCTTCTCTTGACTGGTCTTGTGACCCCTTGCTCTCCCCCACTATGCCTATGGGGGTGTGTCAAATTATATGCATATGATACCGTAATACCCCGGATATAAGCGCACCTGCGCTTATAATAAAACAGTGTTTTTTGGGGGGGTGCGCTTATAATTGAGTCAGATTTATAAGCGCATGCGCTTATTTAATAACAAATGCAAATTTATAATTCATTGGCACCAAACTGTACATCTCCTTCTTGTGATTTCAATCGAATCGAAGTGGTAGCGAGTCGCAATTCAGATTCGCGCGTGAGCGATTTTCTGCCGGCGCACAGGGGAAAATTTACACGTCACTATCAGAAATGACAGCTCATACTGACTGGACGTGCAGTATGTGAGGTCCTCGAAAGTCAATCAAAGCGAAAATAGTTGTATCCTCACTGCAAAATTTGAAATCGCTACCGTTTTAATCTGGTTTAAATTTTAGAATTATACGTGCGCTTATAATAAATCAAGGTTTTACAGGGGGTGCGCTTATAAATGAGGATCGGCCATAAGCGCATTGCTCCAGATACAAGCGCATGCGCTTATAATAGGCCTGCGCTTATATCCGGGGCCATACGGTATATGTGTAGGCTGTAGTGGGGTAGCCAATATGGGGTACAACCCCATTAGGTTTTCATATTTGTACCAAACCCTGATCTAGTCATTCATCCCTGCTTCTAGATTCTAACATCCTCTCCTCTCCTTCTCTTCCTTTCGCCTCCTCCTCCTCATTTAGCTCTCTGCCGTCTTCCACTGCGCCAGGTGTACCCCTTCAGGGGGTGTTGACTGCACCTGTTATTACTGCAAGCAGGCTAAGGGGGTGTGTTAAAGTTATATTTAATATATAGCTTGCTTGCGGTAATTATTGTAGTGTAGTTCTTCATTATTTGTTTGGTGGTGCACCTTCTTTGTTTCTTTGCTATATGTTCTTGCAAACCTTTAGTGAAGCCCCTCATTTCTCGATTCTCCCTTGCACAACCAACTCGACACCCGCTTGGCCTAGGCTACTAAGCCTAGGCCCTAAGTTAAACCGGTTTCCTAACTAAGACGCTATCGTGACAAGGGGTTGTGGCTGGCTAGGAGGGGCTGTGGGCGGTTGGGAGGGGCTGTGGGGGGCTGGGAGGGGCTGTGGGCGGCTGGAGCTGCTGCTGGCCGCTGGTAGGATGCGACAGAACAGGCCAGCAAAGGCCTTCCTGAGCGTGACTAAACGGGGCCCGCGGAGGCCTGTTAAACGCCACTAAACGGGGCCTGCGGGGACCTTAAATCGCGGCTAAACGGGGCCCACGGGGGTGTGCGTGGCGTGCAGTGGCGCACTACTGCTGCTGCTGCGCACGCTAAGGTATGGGCAGAGAAATGCGACGGCCTGCCTAAGCGCATGGGGAAAAACAGGCCACGGCGGCCTGCCGCAGCGTGACAGAATGGGGAGCGGACGACGGGGCCTTAGGCTTGATAGGAGGAGCACGTGAAGGGCCTTACGGACCGCAACTAACAGGAGCCGCGTAACGGGGTGCTCTCGGGGCGCGTTAGTGTATGGGCTACGAGGAAGGCGACGGGAAGGACAACAATGTTAATTAACTTGGACTAAGAGGTTTAGGGGGTAACCTCATGATACCAGATACGTAGCAGAATGGTGCATTAGGTCAAAGGGGAGGGGTACAAGGAGAGTGTCGGGTGATTCCCTCTACCCCCTAGCATGCAACTCACTACAGGCTATCCAACAATACAATCATACACTATCTCCCTTGACAAGCAGTGCTGTCACACAAGCACACCCCTGATGGCAGAAACACCCTAAGGCGGCAAGGAGGCACAGATGAGTGCATGCTGCTGGGCTCAAGCCTGAACCGGAATCGCCACTTTCATCATGCCCTCGCAATGGTACACCACGGAACACCCGAAGTACAGGGTCTTGCCCTTGGCTGTGGCCGGCACCACAAACCTGAAAGGGAGACGAATACCAGTCAGACAGGTAGGGGCAACACGATAAGCGAAATTCAGAAATGATGCTCGGGACAAGACGGTCTTGCACTGTGGAAAGCACGCCCGTCAGAACAGCCAGAGCTCTTTTCCCTGGTTTCTAGTGGCAGCAGCAAAGGCCCAGCTTCCAAAGGATTCCCCTTAAACCTTTGTACCACACATGCCCTTGGGGTCAACTGCTCATGCCAGATGCGTGCTGTGCTGTGCTCTGCTCTGCTCTGCTCTGCTGTGCTGCGCTGTCCGGTGCTGCTCACCTGTACTTGCCGCCAGTGACCTGCCCCGTCAGCCTCTTAGCCGCGCCGGGCCGGAAGTTGCAGGTCCGGTACGCCAAGGGAGTGTTCATCTGCCACACGTCGTGCTTGCCAACCCATTTGAACACTGCCATAGGACGCACGGGACGGGACAACGCGGGATACGGGTGACCAAAGGCCAGCTCTCAGTGAGGATGGCGACCAACGGCCAGCTCTCAGTGAGGATGGCGACCAAAGGCCAGCTCTCAGTGAGGATGGCGACCAAAGGCCAGCTCTCAGTGAGGATGGTGTTGTGTAAGCACGAGGCACGGGGACCTGGCAGGCACTTTATCAGCGACTCACTCATCATAGTTTCTGCAAGCACTGCACAGCTACCGCCGGCAATTGTTTTAGAGATTAGACAAACCCCTTTGTATAGTCTGCGGGGGATTGCATTCACGAGCGAGAGCAGAGGACCGTGAGCAAGGGAGGTGTTAGGAACGACGGCGCCTGTGAGGGGCACGCACCGAGCACGTCGCCTACGCGCGCGGGCGGGTTGGGCTTCCAGTTGCTCAGCTTGTACGTCCAGCCGTTCTTGCCCCCCACCACTATGTCCTGCGCCTGCGCGCGTGGGGTGCAGGGGTGAGTGGAGGGAGTGGGAAGAGGAGTGGGAAGGAGTGGGATGAGGTGGAGTGGGATTGAGGAGGAGAATGGCAGGAAGACAAACGCGGTTCTGAAAATTAGCACGCAAATACAGAGTAAGGGCAGGAAGAGCAGGAGAAGGGAACAGGAGAAGCAGGGAGGCCAGGAAAGGCAGGGAGAGCGAGGCAGGGAGAGCGAGGTAGGGAGAGCGAGGCAGGGAGAGCTTGTGAAGCAGGGAGAGTGAGAGAACGGAGAGGTAAAAAAAGCGCAGCAAGCGGTAGCAGGTCAAAGATTGATGAGGCGAGGGCGGGAAAAGGGAGATGCGTACCTCCACGTGGGTTGCGGCTGAGGAGCACCCGACGATCGGACACCGTGCACGGCGAGGCAGGGGGGGAGGGGAGGGGAAGGAGAGGCAGGGGGGAGGGAAAATACGGGCAGGGAGGGAGGAGAGACGCTGATGCAATGCGAATTGTGAGAACGTGGGAGAAAGGACTCCTTCTTGGAGAGAAACAAGAGATAAGGAACAAACAAGTACTCAATGGCGTCAAAATACGATTGCGTTTGGAAACAAAATACTTTCACAACTGTCAAACATGAAGTCAAAATTTCCGATGTAAACATTAACAACACACAATTGCTACTATTCACTAGGCTGAACGGTACCGTTTACCGAATCGATTGCGCATACCGTTCGCAAACCGGAAAAAAACCCAACCGAAATAGGGTTCCGATTTTTTTGCGAAAGAAAAGACGACGAGTAGAAGACAGAATGAAACACGCCATGGAACAAATGAGCATGAAAAAAATTGGGTGGGGCGTACCGAGCAGGACGAGCAGGCCAGCGGCGACGAGCGCGATGGCGGAGAGCGAGCGAGCCATGGCGACGACGGACGGCGCGCAACGAGATGTTGAGCTTGAGACGCGCTGGATCTAGCTCCTCGACTCGGCGCGCAACGCACTGCGAGGTTTTGAGGGTTGAAGAGGCTGCGTGGGGCCACGTTCAGGAGCCGCCTTTCCGACTCGGAAAGAAGCACTGACCCAGCACTCGGACGCACCGGCTTCAAGTGGTGGGGAAGGTAGGGACGTGTGCAGTGAAAGAATGCGGAGTGTGCGTTCGAGAACTGGACGTATGGACGGGGGGGGACGAGTGGGTTTATATAGTTCGTCATCGCTACGCGCACGGGTGCTGGTGCCGCCAGTGATGCTGCGAAACCCCCGCTGCCGCAACAACTGGGGAGGGAGGGCCGCGGAGCAGACATCCGCGGGTTCCGGAGCTGGCGGACGGCAATTATCGGAGGTTGACGCGGAAAATATCGGAAATTGGCGCAGAAGGTGTGCAGTCCCAGTTCATCCTCCCCCTCGGGGGAAGTCTCTTCTCCCCCAACCCGCACATAAAATGAAACCCACTTCCTGCGCGCCGGAGGCTCACTCCCACCTCGTTGCATCCGCGGGACCGCGGTCTGTGCCGTGTTCTTCTGAAGCGATGGAAAGGGCTTGCCTGCCTGCTGTTATGTACCGCGCAGGGCGCGCAGCAAGGCCCAGGCAGAGCAACCAGGTTCAACCTGGCCGTAATCGTTGGGTCGGGTCGGGTCCATCTTGGGCACCTTGAGTGACGGGCTGCATCTGCAACCTGAACTAAAACTACCTGAACCATTGACGAGCGCAGACTGGAGCTCGGAGAATTTCAGAACCATGATGTTCTGCCGTGTGTATCAGGGGATTAGCCGGCCAACATTGCTCCCTGGGCGACAGTGCGATGTCCGGCCGTCAACTGCCCGCGGGCAGGAAAGAAACCCCCACTGGCTGGATCAAATTGCGAAGTCAAGAAAACACAAGCTCCTGCTTGCTAAGGACGCGGCACATCGGCGAAAACGGCCTAAATTCGAACCAGGTAGCCACACTTCAAGCTCGAACTGGATCATTCTGATGGCGGCGAAGTGTGACGAAGCACAAGAGGCGACAAACATGACACTGTCGTGGACCCTCGCGAAACGGACTTCGTTTTCGAGCTTGGTTTCTGGGAGGACTCAAAACAGACCAGGGGCAGCATTCGTACGATATCTTCCATTCACAGTTCGAACAACGTCATCCAGTACGAATTGGATTTGCCGTGTGCTACCCCTTTGTAGTACGCCCTACTAGACCCGACAGGGAAAACGAGAGACCCTGCTATGCTTCTGTGGGCGCCCTGCAGGTGAGCCTAGAATAGTATAGGACTCCGAACCGGCAGGCAAGGTCCCAACCTGGTGCCGACCACCCTGGCCTGCCTGGCGCGAATTCCGTCAGACAGAGGAGGCTCCGTCGGTCAGGACTCAGGAGGTTTCGGCGTGCCCCCCACGGATACAAAGGCGAGGCGGTTCCTAGATTCCTACACTTACATGATCCATCTGTAACTGGATCCGTTTTTGCCACTTTTTGTGAAACAGTTAGCAATAAGGTAGCGTAGAAAAGTACAACATATGAATGGTCTTTATTGAAACACTCACAAACCCTTGAACACAAAATATCACTATCACATATCAATATAATTATGTTTTACATGTAAGGGTTTCTAAACGTATTCAGGAGGTGTGGAATATCATATGCAAGCATCCTGTCCACCTCTTCCACAAGCTTCACGTTGAGTCGCTCAAAGCTCTCAAACGCACACCCTGCCAGCGCGCGTTGAAAGAGCGCCACTGGAGGGAGGTCACCCTCTGCCAGGCGGTGCTCCCGGGCCACCTGGGGGTGGGGGGGACGTTGACAAAGGGGTGGAGGTGGCATGAAGGTGGACAGGAGGCTTGATGTGCGCTGTGTTGGGCTGAGTAATAAGGAGGACAGTAGCAGGTGGCTTCCCCGGTGGGGTGCAGCGTCGTGGGTGCAAGACAGTGCGAGAAAGGGCCATGAGGGTACCACGAGCTCGACGCACGTTAATGAGCCTCTGCTGCTCCTTGGTGTGGCCAACCAGGGCAGCTGCACCCCATGCACATCCCTTCCCCAACTTTTGAGGCGCCTTTTGAGGCGCCTCAAAAGGCCTCTGCTGCTCCTTGGTGTAGCCAACCAGGGCAGCTGCACCCCCTGCACATCCCTTCCCCATCCCCCCTCCCCCCATCAAGCCCTCACCTTCTCAAACTCCTGCGGCAGGTTCTTAATGAGCCTCTGCTGCGCCTTGGCACGGCCGAAGAGGGGCAGCTGCATCCCCCACACGTCCCTTCCTCATCCCCTCTCCCTCATCCCCCCCTCCCTCATCCCCCTCCCTCATCCCCCCTCCCCCCATCCCCCCTCCCTCATCCCCCTCCCTCATCCCCCCTCCCCCCATCACCCCTCACCTTCTCAAACTCCTGAGGCAGGTTCTCAATGAGGCGCTGCCGGGCCTTGGCGCGGCCGAACAGGGGCAGCTGTGCGCGCAGGTGGGAGATGATGAACGCGTTCACCCTCGCTGCCCTCGCGCGCTTCACAAACTCGTTGATCTGCGCGGCCATGGGCGAGAGGGGGAGAGGGGAAAAGGGCAACGGCCAATGGGCAAGGGAAGAGAGGCGCACTGGTGAGCTGGAGGGGGGATTTGACGGATTCACTACTGCTGCTCCCAGACCGGACTGTATGTTTCACCCTTCCCTCTCCCTCCCCTCGTCTCCCATATTTGTAGCTCGTACAACCCAACCTAATCCCGCTTTCTTTAGTCCCACCCTCCCCACATCTCCTCACCTTGCGATCGCAGCTCTTCCGAGGCAGGTCCCCCAGGTCAGACAGCAGGTCAGAGGGCAAGCACTCATCCACGCCACACTCTCTGTCCCCCTTTTTACCCCTCCCTCCCCCTCCACGTCATATCCTCACCTTACGATCACAGCTCTTCCGGGGCAGGTCCCCCAGGTCAGACAGCAGGTCGCTCATCTCCCTCTCAAACAGCGCTCGCCCCAGCCGCCCCTCCGCGTCCTCCTCCTCCTCCTCTTCTTCTTCCACTTCCTCCTCCTCATCTTCAATCTGATCCCTTGCCTGCACACTCTTTCCCGTTCCCCTCCTTGCAGCCTTGCCCTCTCCATGGCTCCTGGGTGCCACGTTCTCCTTGCCCTTGCTCTCTTCCAACTCGCTTCCTCTGCACCCCTCTGCTGCATTGCCGCACTCCTCTTTTCCCTCCTCTTGGCTCTTCTCTCCAACCTCCTCTCCGCTCTCCCCATTTCCTTTCTCAAGTCCTGCACCGTTCGCACCCTCTTCCCCCACTGGTGCACACTCGTTCCTTGCCTCCGCCTCACGCTCCGCTTCCTTGTTCCCCGTTTCTCCCTTCTCCTTGTTTGGGGCAACCGCTGTCTCCTTGGTCTCTTCGCTAGCTGTGGACTCGCATCCGATGGTCGTTTGCTGCGTTGCTGACCGCAGCTGAAGCGCCTGCTTGCGTGGCTTCTGGGCAGGAAGCTTCTTCTTGCCAGGTAGCTTCTTTGCAGGAAGCTTCTTCTTGCCAGGAGCTGTGTCCGAGAAAGATCTGATGAGGGTGAGGAGGACGCGGGGGAAAGGGTGAGCAAGGGAGCAGACGGGGTTGCGCGGTGCACTGAAGTCGATGCAACAGCGCTGCCGTACTGACTGTGTGTGTGGCAGCACAGTGGCAAGGAATCACCCTATGAACTCACTTGCACCAATCTTGAAGGCGCCTTTAAAGCCGCTTCAGCAACTGTGGGACAATGGCAAGGGCCCACTCTATGAGCACACACGCACGATGTGCAGGTGTGTGTGCTGCATGCATGGCTGCACCAAGTTTTGGGTCGACTCAAAACTAGACACATGCAGGTGTGTGTATGTGTGTGCTGCTGCATGCATGCAGGGCTGCACCATGGCATGGCACCGACTCTCAACGCCTACAAGCACGTCCTTTACAGCCACTCGTGCTGCGAGCCCACTCACCCAATGTACACGCGCATGACTTCAGGAGTGTTGATGACCTTCCCCAGTGACCACATGAGTGCCCCGTACACTCGCATGAGCTGCGGGGGTGGGGGAGGGGAGAAAGAGAGAGGGGAGGAGAGGGGAGGGGACGAGCGCATGCGGTGTGATGATCCCTCTCAACCAGTGACTGCATGAATGCACCGTACACACGCATGAGGTGAGGGGGTGGGGGGAGTGAGGAGAGGAGAAGCGAGAAACACAGGAGTGGGCGTGAGAGCAACAGGCATGAGCATCAGGTGCAGCAGGTTTGGAAAGGGGAGGCGGGGCGAGGCAAGCAGGGGAGGCCGAGGGCAGCGCACCAATGCAGTGCACGACTATGTTTTAAAGTTGACTCAAAAGTCAGCACGAGGGCAGCACACGAGGGCAGCACACGAGGGCAGTTGCTTTGGGGCCCAAGGCAACGACAGCAGCCGGGTAGGGTTGAAGTGCGGAGGAACGCCGCGGCATTGATGGATCAGGCGCGTGCCCACCTGCTGCTTCCCATGCAGTCAGCTGAATGAATCACTCAAACGCACCTGCTGCGTGTTGACCTGGTCAACGCATCTCACCTGCTGCGTGTTGACCTGGTCAACGCATCTCACCTGCTGCGTGTTGACCTGGTCAACGCATCTCACCTGCTGCGTGTTGACCTGGTCAACGCATCGCACCTGCTGCGTGTTGACGTGGTCGGCCTTGTTGAGCACGAGGCGGATCTTATCCTTGTTGCCGTGCAGCGACGTGATGACGCGCTTGAACTCGTCGCTCACGTCCAGCTTGTGCGGGTCGAAGAGCAGCAGAATGAGTTGGATGCGAACCACTGAGGGGGGAGGGGGTTGGAGAGGCAGAGGGAGAGACAGACGTGGCTTGAGTGAATGGCGCCCACTGTGCAGACAGCCACTGTCCCTCCCGTCCAGCTTGTGTGGGTGGAAGAACAGCAGAATGAGGTCGCACTAGGACGTGAACCACTGGGAGCGAGGAAGGAGGAGAGGGGGATGACGTTCAGGAGGAAGAAAATGGAAGAGGGGAGGGGAAGGAGACGTCGGAATAGATACGTGCTGCTTTTGAGTTGAGAGGATGAGAGAAAGGAACATGATAGGATGGAGAATTAATAAAATTTTAATTTCCTACACCCATAGGTAGCCCTCTCCCTCACCCTCTCTCACCCCCTCTTACCCAGCCCCTCTCCCTCACCCCCTCTCACCCCCTCTTACCCACCCCCTCTTCCCCACCCCCTCTTACCCACCCCCTCTTCCCCACCCCCTCTCACCCCCTCTTACCCATCCCCTCTTCCCCACCCCCTCTCACCCCCTCTTACCCATCCCCTCTTCCCCACCCCCTCTCACCCCCTCTTACCCATCCCCTCTTCCCCACCGCCTCTCACCCCCTCTTCCCCACCCCCCATCACGCCACTCACCTCAGTGACGCCAGTGAAGTCGTAGCTGCGCTGCGTGCGCTGCTTCTCCCCCGCCAGCACGCCCGGGGTGTCCACCAGGCAGATGTGATCCAGCAGGGGGTGGGGCAGCTGGTGGGGGGAGGGGGAGATCAGGGGGGTACAATGGAGAGGAGCAGAATAACGGTAAGGTAGTGCCAGCACGCCCGGTGTGTCAAACAGACATAAGTGGTCCCCAGCAGGGGGTGGGGCAGCTGGTGGGGGGAAAGAGAGGGGGAGTAAAAGGGGTGAAAGGGGAGAACGGCTTAGGGGAATATGCAGGTACTGACAGCATACCGGGTGTGTCCACAAGGCACATGTGATCCAGTGGGGGGTGCGGCAGCTGGTGAGAGGTGGGGAAGAGTAGTGGTGTATTGGTAAGGTAGCGCTGGCATTTGTGGTGTGGCCACAAGGCAGGTGTGATCCAGCAGGGATTGGGGTAGCTGGTGAGGTGAGGGGCCGAGTGGGGAGGGAACGGTAGGAGGGGGGGAAGGGGGCAGGAAGAGGAGTCAGCTCAGCAGTAGTTATGCAGGCACTGGGTGGCAGGACTCCCAAGGCGCCCACCGAGCACTGGGTGGCAGGACTCCCAAGGCGCCCACCGAGCAGATGCGGTTGCGGAGAGGTTGGGTTGAGGAGAGGAGGAGGCGCAGGGAGGCCTGGCGGTACACAGTGGGGTGGGGCCACCAATTGGCAAGGCAACTCATGAGTCTTTTCGAGAAGAATCACTCCTGCGGCCACCGCGCCTCACCTGAGCGACTTCGAGCTTCTCGAGGAAGGCGGAGCCGAAGCGGGTGAGACCGGCGAAGGGCATGTCCGCACTCACTGCCACCGTGTTGCCCGGTATGCTGCGCTCGTCCGGTCCGTTCTGGTGTGTGGGAGGAGGGAGGTGATGGAAAGGGACTGATCGTGTGAGAGAGATCGTGTTAGAGTGCAACAACTGGCGTGGGATGTGGAGGGGAAAGAAAGAGGAGAGGAGAGTGTAGGAATGCAGGAGTGGCGACGACAATAGTGCCTAGGAGGTGAAATGGAGAGAGAGAGGAGGTGGGGGGAGAAGCGAGGAACGGTGAGGAGAGGAGGTGGGGGGAGAAGAGAGGAGTGGTGTGGAGGGGGAGGGAGGGAGGAGGGCGCACCATGACGACGACAAAGCGGTCGGTGGTGGGCTCTGGTCCGATGTGTGACCCTGCAGATATGGAGGCGCGGGAGAGGTGAGGGGGGTCAGTGGCAGTCAGTGGAGGGCGACAGGGGTCAGTGGAGGGCGACAGGGGTCAGTGGAGGGCGACAGGGGTCAGTGGAGGGCGACAGGGGTCAACGGAGGTGCTGCAGTGGAGTGCAGAAGGGGGTAGGCTGGAGATTAGGGAATGCTGAGCTGGCGATGAGGAGAAAGAGAGAGAAGTAGCAGGGCTAGGTGCGGCTTACCTGGGTAGGGGCGGCTGAGCAGATGGCGGATGAAGGTGGTCTTGCCTGTGCTGTACTGCAGTGGGGGATGGGTGGAGAGAGTAGGGGGTGGCAGGGAGTAGGGGGTGGCAGGGAGTAGGGGTGGCAGGGAGTAGGGGTGGCAGGGAGTAGGGGCATAAGAATGGAATCAGGTTGGATTGGATGGGCATGGAACAAGGGCGCATGGGATGGGACTAAAGAATGCTTGAGAAGATATGCAGAGACACGCAAAATGTGAGACCTTGTGGCATGTTCTTGTGAGATTCTATCACATGCGTACTCTCTTATCTCTGTCAACTTGGGCCAGTCTAACGTGCCCACCTGCCCCAGCAGCATCACCATGGGCTCACCTGCCCCAGCAGCATCACCATGGGCTTGGCCTCAAAGTCGCTCCCCGTCTGAAGGCGCATGGGGGACACGTGCGGGGAGATGGGGCAGTGGGGAGAGCGGGATGGGAAGGGGTGGTGCAAGCATGGCTAAGCACGACGGTGCAGCCATGTGGTTGGGCGGAAGCAACAGGATCCAGTCAGTGTTAAACAGGTGGGCTGCGGAGGTCTTATGTCCATCAACATGTTTCTAGGACGACGACGCAATAGCGCCGAGAAGGGCAGCATGGCGTGGTGAGAAGGGCAGCATGGCGTGGTGAGAACGCATGGCAGCATGGCATGAAGCATGGCATGAAGCATGGTATGAAGCATGGCACGGCAGGGCAGAAGTAGAGGAAGGGAGGGACTGACGAGGGCGGGCGAGTGGAAGTCGTGGAAGCGGTATGCCTCCTCCAGCGGCCGCAGCTTGCTCTCATACAGCCCCCTCAGCCCGTCCACCACTGACGTTATGGCGCCCTGGGGGAGTGGCTGGTGGGGGGAGGAGTTAGGTACAGAGGGACAAGAAGCAGGCAAAGAGGGGAATGGGGAGAGTGATAAGAGCGCAGCTTGCTCTCGTGCATCCCCCTCAACCTATCCACCACCAACGTTACGACATGAGGGATGCGGCTAGGGAGGGGTGTGGTATGAATGGAAAAAAGGGCAGGGTCGTGGCGTACCTTCTTGGCCTTGGGCTTGAAGAGCGACATGAGCGACGCCGCCAGAGAGGGATCCGGCTCCTCTGTTGCCATGGGGGGTTGGGGATGAGAGGGGGTGGGAATGAGAGGGGGTGGGGACACAAGGACCGCCAGTGAGGGTGTATGGGAGAGTGAGAAGAGGGGAGATGGGGAGAGGAGAGGTACGGAACAAGACCATCGATGCTGTCAAGACCATCCAGGCTGTCAAGACCATCCATGCTGTCAAGACCATCCATGCTGTCAAGACCATCCAGGCTGTCAAGACCATCCATGCTGTCAAGACCATCCAGGCTGTCAAGACCATCCAGGCTGTCAAGACCATCCATGCTGTCAAGACCATCCAGGCTGTCAAGACCATCCAGGCTGTCAAGACCATCCAGGCTGTCAAGACCATCCAGACTGTCAAGACCATCCACGCTGTCAAGACCATCCAGGCTGTCAAGACCATCCAGGCTGTCAAGACCATCCAGGCTGTCAAGACCATCCAGGCTGTCAAGACCATCCAGGCTGTCAAGACCATCCATGCTGTCAAGACCATCCATGCTGTCAAGACCATCCAGGCTGTCAAGACCATCCAGGCTGTCAAGACCATCCAGGCTGTCAAGACCATCCATGCTGTCAAGACCATCCATGCTGTCAAGACCATCCGGGCTGTCAAGACCATCCGGGCTGTCAAGACCATCCATGCTGTCAAGACCATCCAGGCTGTCAAGACCATCCAAGCTGTCAAGACCATCCAGGCTGTCAAGACCATCCAGGCTGTCAAGACCATCCAGGCTGTCAAGACCATCCATGCTGTCAAGACCATCCAGGCTGTCAAGACCATCCAGGCTGTCAAGACCATCCAGGCTGTCAAGACCATCCATGCTGTCAAGACCATCCAGGCTGTCAAGACCATCCATGTTGTCAAGACCATCCATGCTGTCAAGACCATCCAGGCTGTCAAGACCATCCAGGCTGTCAAGACCATCCATGCTGTCAAGACCATCCATGCTGTCAAGACCATCCAGGCTGTCAAGACCATCCATGCTGTCAAGACCATCCATGCTGTCAAGACCATCCAGGCTGTCAAGACCATCCAGGCTGTCAAGACCATCCATGCTGTCAAGACCATCCATGCTGTCAAGACCATCCATGCTGTCAAGACCATCCAGGCTGTCAAGACCATCCAGGCTGTCAAGACCATCCAGGCTGTCAAGACCATCCAGGCTGTCAAGACCATCCAGGCTGTCAAGACCATCCAGGCTGTCAAGACCATCCATGCTGTCAAGACCATCCATGCTGTAAAGACCATACATGCTGTCAAGACCATCCATGCTGTCAAGACCATCCATGCTGTCAAGACCATCCATGCTGTCAAGACCATCCATGCTGTCAAGACCATCTAGGCTGTCAAGACCATCCAGGCTGTCAAGACCATCCAGGCTGTCAAGACCATCCAGGCTGTCAAGACCATCCAGGCTGTCAAGACCATCCAGGCTGTCAAGACCATCCAGGCTGTCAAGACCATTCAGGCTGGCAAGACCATCCAGGCTGTCAAGACCATCCAGGCTGTCAAGACCATCCAGGCTGTCAAGACCATCCAGGCTGTCAAGAGCATCCAGGCTGTCAAAAGCATCCAGGCTGTCAAGAGCATCCATGCTGTCAAGAGCATCCATGCTGTCAAGAGCATCCAGGCTGTCGAGAGCATCCATGCTGTCGAGACCATCCAGGCTGTCGAGACCATCCAGGCTGTCAAGACCATCCAGGCTGTCAAGACCATCCATGCTCTCAAGACCATCCATGCTGTCAAGACCATCCAGGCTGTCAAGACCATCCAGGCTGTCAAGACCATCCATGCTGTCAAGACCATCCAGGCTGTCAAGACCATCCAGGCTGTCAAGACCATCCATGCTGTCAAGACCATCTATGCTGTCAAGACCATCCAGGCTGTCAAGACCATCCAGGCTGTCAAGACCATCCATGCTGTCAAGACCATCCATGCTGTCAAGACCATCCATGCTGTCAAGACCATCCAGGCTGTCAAGACCATCCAGGCTGTCAAGACCATCCAGGCTGTCAAGACCATCCATGCTGTCAAGACCATCCATGCTGTCAAGACCATCCATGCTGTCAAGACCATCCATGCTGTCAAGACCATCCATGCTGTCAAGACCATCCATGCTGTCAAGACCATCCAGGCTGTCAAGACCATCCATGCTGTCAAGACCATCCAGGCTGTCAAGACCATCCAGGCTGTCAAGACCATCCAGGCTGTCAAGACCATCCAGGCTGTCAAGACCATCCAGGCTGTCAAGACCATCCAGGCTGTCAAGACCATCCATGCTGTCAAGACCATCCATGCTGTCAAGACCATCCAGGCTGTCAAGACCATCCAGGCTGTCAAGACCATCCAGGCTGTCAAGACCATCCAGGCTGTCAAGACCATCCAGGCTGTCAAGACCATCCAGGCTGTCAAGACCATCCAGGCTGTCAAGACCATCCAGGCTGTCAAGACCATCCAGGCTGTCAAGACCATCCAGGCTGTCAAGACCATCCATGCTGTCAAGACCATCCATGCTGTCAAGACCATCCAGGCTGTCAAGACCATCCAGGCTGTCAAGACCATCCAGGCTGTCAAGACCATCCATGCTGTCAAGACCATCCATGCTGTCAAGACCATCCGGGCTGTCAAGACCATCCGGGCTGTCAAGACCATCCAGGCTGTCAAGACCATCCAAGCTGTCAAGACCATCCAAGCTGTCAAGACCATCCAGGCTGTCAAGACCATCCAGGCTGTCAAGACCATCCAGGCTGTCAAGACCATCCAGGCTGTCAAGACCATCCATGCTGTCAAGACCATCCAGGCTGTCAAGACCATCCATGTTGTCAAGACCATCCATGCTGTCAAGACCATCCAGGCTGTCAAGACCATCCAGGCTGTCAAGACCATCCATGCTGTCAAGACCATCCATGCTGTCAAGACCATCCAGGCTGTCAAGACCATCCATGCTGTCAAGACCATCCATGCTGTCAAGACCATCCAGGCTGTCAAGACCATCCAGGCTGTCAAGACCATCCATGCTGTCAAGACCATCCATGCTGTCAAGACCATCCATGCTGTCAAGACCATCCAGGCTGTCAAGACCATCCAGGCTGTCAAGACCATCCAGGCTGTCAAGACCATCCAGGCTGTCAAGACCATCCAGGCTGTCAAGACCATCCAGGCTGTCAAGACCATCCATGCTGTCAAGACCATCCATGCTGTAAAGACCATACATGCTGTCAAGACCATCCATGCTGTCAAGACCATCCAGGCTGTCAAGACCATCCATGCTGTCAAGACCATCCATGCTGTCAAGACCATCCATGCTGTCAAGACCATCCATGCTGTCAAGACCATCCATGCTGTCAAGACCATCCAGGCTGTCAAGACCATCCAGGCTGTCAAGACCATCCAGGCTGTCAAGACCATCCATGCTGTCAAGACCATCCATGCTGTCAAGACCATCCAGGCTGTCAAGACCATCCATGCTGTCAAGACCATCCATGCTGTCAAGACCATCCATGCTGTCAAGACCATCCAGGCTGTCAAGACCATCCAGGCTGTCAAGACCATCCATGCTGTCAAGACCATCCATGCTGTCAAGACCATCCAGGCTGTCAAGACCATCCAGGCTGTCAAGACCATCCAGGCTGTCAAGACCATCCATGCTGTCAAGACCATCCATGCTGTCAAGACCATTCATGCTGTCAAGACCATCCAGGCTGTCAAGACCATCCATGCTGTCAAGACCATCCATGCTGTCAAGACCATCCATGCTGTCAAGACCATCCAGGCTGTCAAGACCATCCAGGCTGTCAAGACCATCCATGCTGTCAAGACCATCCAGGCTGTCAAGACCATCCAGGCTGTCAAGAGTATCCAGGCTGTCAAGACCATCCAGGCTGTCAAGACCATCCATGCTGTCAAGACCATCCGGGCTGTCAAGACCATCCATGCTGTCAAGACCATCCGGGCTGTCAAGACCATCCATGCTGTCAAGACCATCCAGGCTGTCAAGACCATCCATGCTGTCAAGACCATCCAGGCTGTCAAGACCATCCAAGCTGTCAAGACCATCCAGGCTGTCAAGACCATCCAGGCTGTCAAGACCATCCAGGCTGTCAAGACCATCCAGGCTGTCAAGACCATCCATGCTGTCAAGACCATCCATGCTGTCAAGACCATCCAGACTGTCAAGACCATCCAGGCTGTCAAGACCATCCAGGCTGTCAAGACCATCCATGCTGTCAAGACCATCCATGCTGTCAAGACCATCCAGGCTGTCAAGACCATCCATGCTGTCAAGACCATCCATGCGGTCAAGACCATCCATGCTGTCAAAACCATCCATGCTGTCAAGACCATCCATGCTGTCAAGACCATCCATGCTGTCAAGACCATCCATGCTGTCAAGACCATCCAGGCTGTCAAGACCATCCATGCTGTCAAGACCATCCATGCTGTCAAGACCATCCATGCTGTCAAGACCATCCAGGCTGTCAAGACCATCCAGGCTGTCAAGACCATCCGGGCTGTCAAGACCATCCAGGCTGTCAAGACCATCCATGCTGTCAAGACCATCCATGCTGTCAAGACCATCCATGCTGTCAAGACCATCCATGCTGTCAAGACCATCCATGCTGTCAAGACCATCCAGGCTGTCAAGACCATCCATGCTGTCAAGACCATCCATGCTGTCAAGACCATCCAAGCTGTCAAGACCATCCAGGCTGTCAAGACCATCCAGGCTGTCAAGACCATCCAGGCTGTCAAGACCATCCAGGCTGTCAAGACCATCCATGCTGTCAAGACCATCCAGGCTGTCAAGACCATCCAGGCTGTCAAGACCATCCATGCTGTCAAGACCATCCAGGCTGTCAAGACCATCCAGGCTGTCAAGACCATCCATGCTGTCAAGACCATCCAGGCTGTCAAGACCATCCATGCTGTCAAGACCATCCATGCTGTCAAGACCATCCATGCTGTCAAGACCATCCATGCTGTCAAGACCATCCATGCTGTCAAGACCATCCATGCTGTCAAGACCATCCAGGCTGTCAAGAGGGAAACCAACGAGCTCGCGCCTCACCGTGCGTGTCGGACTCGATGGAGGCGGAGCAGGCTAGGATGCTCTCCGACGCCGTGCAAGTCGACTCACAGCACATCACAAGCAAACACGCAGAGCACATGCCTTGCTGCACACGCCTTGCAGGCAACACACGCCTCGCGGCTCGCAGGTCGCAGCTCACCGTGCGTGTCGGACTCGATGGAGGCGATGCAGGCGAGGATGCTCTCGGACGCCAGCTCCTCGTCCAGCCCCCTCAGCGCCGGGAAGCACGGCTGGCGCGCTGTGGAGGGGGGAGAGCGTGGTGCCGGTGGGACGGGGAAGGGAAGGGAACGGAAGGGAAGGGAAGGGAAGGGAAGGGAAGAGGGAGCTGGGGTTGACGGCGGGAAGAGTGGCAGATGGGCGATTGGGTGTCCGTGGGGCAGCATGCATGGAGTGAGCAGAGGAGTGTGCGGATGGGGATACGAGGAGGGTGCCTTGGTACTGCAAACTTCTTGCCATGTCACCACTGACGCCAACGAAAGCAGCACGGACTGCATGAAGCATGGAGCATAAGCAGTGCACCATGCAGCATGCTCCAAACACCGTGCATTAAGCAGCATGCAGCATGTCCCAGGGCCCACAGGGCGCACTGGGCATGTCTTCCCCGCGCAACAGCAGTTGCTGTTGCTTCACCATCCCCCTTCCCCATGCCCCATGCATCAAGCAGCATGCAGCATTCCCAGACCCCATGCACCACGTGGCACCCATGCCCACAGCGCTGCTCACCGGGCATGTCCTCTCCGCGCGACAGCAGCTGCTGCTTGGCGATCAGCCGCATCGCCACCACAAACTCCTCCATGCCCAGATAGCCCTGCACAGCGGTGCAGAGGGGTGCAGAGGCAGAGGCAGAGGCAGAGGCAGAGGCAGAGGCAGAGGCAGACGAGGGGGAGAGGTAGAGGGAGAGGGAGAGGGAGAGGGAGAGGAGAAGGGGAGGGAGGGTCGTTCAGTGTGTTGGCAACGAGACGGGGAACCATATTGTACAGGCTTGCACTGCGGGCTGGAAAAAGAGTTGAATGCGCGTGAAACGAGTGAAGAGCATGAGTGCAACGAGTGCTGGCGGGCGTAGGCGGAGGAGCGCTGAGCGGTGTGAGGGCGCAGGAAATGCAGGCAGGTGCTGCGAGGGAGAGGAGGCGGGCGCGGAAGTCATAGGAGGAGGTGCTCTGCGTGTGCTTGCGCACGCACGCGTGCGCGCTCGTACCTGGCGACGGTCGTCCGCAGCCGCCCAGATCTGCGCACGTGGGAGGCGCGGGGTTGAGAGGTTCGCGGGAGATGTGGGGGAAAGAAGACAGGCGGATGGAATGGATATAGTTTAGGGGCAGGGGCAAGCTGAAGACTGGGGATGAAGGAAAGATGAGGGGCAACGAGACAAAGAACTGGGCTCAGTATCAAACACGGGCGTTAATCGCCACGGTTTAAGCTCACAGTACCTCGTTCAGCTTGTTCCCGTTTCAAACTTTACTCATTCTTGTACGGTTCCGCTCGTACGGGTTTCATCTCGAACCAGTTTCGTTCATACGGGTGTCATCGCGTACCGCTTTGAGCTCGTGCTGCATGAGGCCGGAGCGCTTGAAGAAGGGAACGGCGTCGGGACCCGTGATGCGCCCGTCGCCATCTGCACGGGGGGGAAAGAATGGAGGGAACGGAGAGGAATAACGGTGAATGGGATAGTGTTTTGGCGAATGGGGACTTTAGCATGACTGAAGTCTTGGTATGGTTTCTGCCGAGGTTTTTTTTTTTTTTTTTTCAAAATAATGAACGCTGGGAATCCAGCGCGTCCCAAAAAAGCAATGCGGCCTCAGCCAGGGTTTGTTTTCCTGAGTGTGCATGGCCGCAATAATCAGCGAGTGGCGAGGAGGAGCTAAGATTCTCGAGAGGGAACAAACGGCAAAAGCACGCGGTGGCTGATGGGTCGAGTCATAATAGCGAGTAGGATTTTTTAGTCGTGGCGCCGACGAGGCCACAATCAAGTTGAATCAACAGGCGAAAAGGATGCTTGAGATGGTGTAGAGGAAGCAGCTGAGGCGAGTGAAGGGGATGAATGGTGGTGGTGAGGAGACAGGTGGAAAACGACGCACCTGAGTCGACGAATGCGAACCAGCGACGGTAGACCTGCGGGGAGGCGACGGGAAGGACGGCAAACCAGAAAACCGATTAGTACATTGAAAGAAAAAAAAAAAAAAAAAAAAGGATTGTTTTCGCGGCAGAGAGTTTGTATCTGCCCGACAGTCAGATTCATTTCGCTTACGCCACAAGAGCGGCCAGCGCTACGTTCGTCACGAAGCGCGGCGTTTCGTGTTGTGCAACTCATAATCTCTTTTCGTCCCAACGACTTTTGATGATTCGCAAAGAGCGTTTGGCGTTGAGAGATTCAGTTGCAGTCTCCGTCCGAGCGGCACTCACCCGCATTTCCTCCTTGCTGCACATTGCGGGCTGCGCCGCTACGAGAACGTCTCCGCTCGGCATGCTTCGTGGAGCAAATGTTCAGAGTCTTGCGGAGAAAAGGTTTCGTGGAGTGAGAAATTATGCGTATGTCTTTCAAAATGTCACTATGCGTTTCCAAATATATGACAAACTATCAGGCTTCAAGATCCTTGAACTTAGACGCACGGTGAGAAACTATCAAGATGAGTGGAAGAATGAAAGTCCAGGGAACAGCCATGACATTTTAGCATGTGACAGGAGTGTCGAGGGAGGAGCACGAGGCAGCAAGAGGCGCAGCGCAGAACCAAGGTGCGCGGGAGGAGTCACGGCTGGTACACGGCACACATTCATCTTTAACACATGCATCACGGTTTTCTGCGATTCGCTGCGATTTAAAACGGTATCAGCGAGAACCGTGTAGAAAACGTATTCACCGTTGTCGAATGTTGCTGGACTGCCCGAACCAAATTCGCTAGGCATTGGTTGGAGCACAGGCAGTCAAACTGATCTGAACGCGTTTCTCCGCAGCCCATTGGAGGAAAGCGCATTGGTGTTGGGCGCTTGTTGCGGTCTGACATTGTACGCGTCACAAGCACGGAAACGCGCATTCGCTGACCTCAGGATAACCCTACCTAGGCGGTGCCCGCCGACCTGCAGCACGTGTAGCCTAGATCCTGTCATGCAGTATGAGGTATCCTACGTACGGTATTATTATTTCCAGAAGAACAAGGTGGCAGGCAGATGTATATCCAAATTACTTCAACAGGCATGAGAATTTGGCAGTGCTAAACAAGCCATCTAAACCCATTTGTGTCACAGCAACATTACTGCTGGATCTGACTTCCCATGGTCAATGCTTAAGCACGTGTTTTCCTAAGTTCCTAACACAGGTGTGCAAACCTGAACACATACCGTACATGGCACCGTATAAAAATACTCCGCACAGCTCCCTCCCACCCTCTTAACCTGTTCATCCGAGTTCGCTTCAAACAAAAAAAACCAAAGAATCTCCAGCTAAACGACTTGGTAGCTTTCCACACTCATCTGTGTTCTCCCTGCAAACTTGACTGGTTGGCCACTGCTTGCTTGAGTCACAGATACCACCTGAAATGGCCAAACAACGGAAAATAGTACTTCGAGAATGCATAAGCTATCCGATTGTACTCAAGTGTCAATTGCTATACGGAGCTCAATGGTGTGATGAGAGTAGTAAGAGGGGGCCGTGGAGAAGGCTTGAGAGGGGGGGGGAACAAGGTACCGCCAAGACAGGGAAGGGGAGGGGTTGAAAAGGACATGGGTGAACAGAGGGCAGGACAGGGAAAGCAGGCGAAGGTAGAGAAGGAAGGTGCGAGTGGGCAGAAAATAAATATCAGAGTGAGAAGGAGAGAGGGAGGGAAGGGAGAGGGGGTTGAGGGCGTCGTGGGGGAGGTAAACGCAGGGGTGAGGATGAAAGTGATGGAGGATGGTGGAAGAAGGGGTGGGGGGGGGGAGGGGGTAGGGTGGGATAGAAAAGGGGTACGTTGAGAACGGATTGGGAAAAGCATGGGGCGTTGGGGAGGCATTCATGAAGGAAAGGGGCGATCAAAGGGGTGGGGTAGGTGGGTGATGGGCAGGGAATGTGAGGGACGGACCTTGACGTCGCAGAATGTCTTGGCGGACGTGAAGCGCACTTCAATGGGGAAGAAGAGGTCGGGGTTGGTGGCCGGCACCACAAACTCCATCGACCCACTGCCACACGCGACGCGTGCACCACACGGCGTTGAAGCAGGTGGGCCGCAGGTGAGAACAGTTGGGAACGGGTTGAGAATAGGTTAGTAACAGGCGGGGAACAGGTAAGGAACAGTTAGAGTAACCGACGGGGAATGGGCACAGAACACATGAGGAACAAATGAGCAACCAGTGAGCAAGGGCTAACAAGTGAACAGGAGCGAGGAGAGAGACCCAGGGTGGAGGAGTGCAGTGCAACCACTGTTCTTCTACCATTTGTGACTGAAATTCTTGCACGAACTGACCATGAGAACAATGTGTTGTAACCCATCCTTCACATCAACGCGGTCCCACTGTCTAAATTCAAGCATGTGACTGCAGGTATTGCCCCCCCCTCGTTACCTGGCCCGGCTAGTTATCTTAGCTTCTTTTGAGCTGGAAAGAGGAGCCAAGACTACAACAAGACCAACAGCTGACAATAGCTGGAAGGCAAATCTTACTTGCGGTTGGAGTTATCGATGAGGTCGATGCACCACTCCAACACGGATCTCCTTGAATCATATCTGCATGCATGCACACAAGGCAGATAGTTGAAACGTAGAGGAAGAACGGCTTCATATCACAGTGTTTCAATTTAAACCACCATGCCCGGAAACCCTAAGAGCTCTGCACCGCATGGGGGTTCGTGGGAATCAAGCGAATGCAAAGCTAGTTCGTGACCTTGGCTCTCCAGCGTAAAGCCCTCAAACGGAGTGCATACATCCAGCCCAAAGGGGAAGACAAAAGAAGACGACGGAAAGAAAGGGAAAGGGAAAGAAAGGGAAAGGGAAAGAAACGTAGCACGTACCTGGGCTCGCCGTCGTAGTCCTTGAGCGTGGGCGCCTCACGCAGCGCCGGCAGCGGGATCTCAACCACCACGTGGCGCAGGTCGAATGCCTGTGTGGCCTCGTACTCTATGTTCACATACGTGTCTGCACCCGACACCGACGGCCAGCAGTTGACTGTGGGAGGGGAAGGCACGGGAGTGCCCCCCCATGGGAATGGGAGCAACGGAAAAGGAAGGCAGGGAAGGTTAGTCTGAGCAACTAAGCAAGGGCAGCGTGGCCTCGTACCCTCTGTTCACATACGCGTCCGGCCCCAGCACCGATGGCCAGCAGTTGACTGCGAAAGTGGGAAACACGGGGATGGGAGCCACGGGGTTCAGGAAAGTTCAATCTGAGCTCCTATGGAAAACCCTGTGAGGTATTGTACGCTATGGTTCACGTAAGTTGATATCCGTGCCTGACACTGATGGCAAGAACTTGACTGCAGGAATAGGGGCCACGGTTGAAATTCAAGGAAAAATGGGAGCCAAGGCAGAAGGGGATTGTACGCCAGGCGTAAGTGTGGAACGGCCTGAGAGGTGTTATACTCGATGGTCACATGTGTTTTCAACCCAAATATGACCGCCAGCAGCTGACTGTTGAAACAAAAACCGTGTAAAACAGGGGCACGGGGAATGGGGAGGACCAGGTACACCGGGTTGCATAATGCACAAGTATGCGGCATGAGGAAGGGCAGAATGGACTGCGCTCGCACCCATGTCCGCGGCTAGCGGGACATAAACAGGCGTTCGGAGAAGAGGGATGAGGTGGGCCATGATATGGGGCTACGGAGGGAATTGTGGGAGAGAATGGAGGAAAAACAAAAGACACAGCCTGGGAGGGACGACCCACACCACAAATTGATGCTCCCTAAGACGTTGCAGCAACAAAAAACGAGAGGAAGAGAGAAACGGAGTGAGCGAGGAAGGGGAGCGAGACATACTGCTGATGGGGACGACGGTCTCGTCCTTGGACTGCATGCGCCACTTGAGGATGCCCAGCGGGCTGCCGGTGGGGAAGGGCCGGTTGGGGTCCTTGAGGCCCAGGATGTTCTGGCTGCCGTACAGCGCCTTGTCAATGTTCGGATGCGTCTTGAATTGGAAGCTCTTGTCATGCCCGCCGTCGATCTGCATCAGGGTCAACCAGGAACGAAGGAAAGCAGCAAATTGATATCACACGAGCAGAGCCCCACAGACCCTACGTTCCACAGCTTACAATCGCTCCAAAACAAGCCAGAAGCGTTTACACACAAGCGCCCACACACAAGTCACAACCGCTCCGCACACAAGATACACGCGCTCCACACACAAATGACAACCGCTCCACACACAAGCAACAATTGCTCCACACAAAAAGCACCACCACTTCACACACAAATGACAACCGCTCTACACACCAGTCCCAAGCGTTCCACACCACACGCAACTCACAAAATCCCCACACATGCCTGCCCAGACCGCTGCCACAGTCCCGCTTGAACGCACCTGGATGCGGATGAAGGCGTCCTCCTCCTTGAGCACGGTGAGCGCCATGGTGCCCTGCACCTCCATGTTCTCCAGCCCGCTCGAGTCGACTCAACAGTCACCACACTAGACACCAGCGCTCCACACACAGGCCCAGAGGACACCAGCTCTCCACGTACAAGACACAGACGCTGCACTCGCAATTCACAAGCTCTCCACGTACTCCTCCACCCGCGCCAACGCACCTGGATGCGGATGAAGGCATCTTCTTCCTTGAGCACGGTGAGCGCCATGGTGCCCTGCACCTCCATGTTCTCCAGCCCGCCGTCGCGCTTCCACACCGCCACCAGCTTCTCCTCCACCAGAATCGTGATCGGATCCGTCGCCACGAACGCCGCTGGCCCGCCAGCACCAGCGCCCGCGAGACCGGGACCGGCGGCGGCGGACATGACGTCCTCGACGATGTTCTCGCCCTCCGCCTTGAGCGACTCGAGGAACTGGTTTGTCTTGGTGGACTTGCCCAGCTTCATGCCCATGCCCTTGGACGGCGCCGCCAGACTCCCGCCCGCCCGCCCTGTGGGTTGGTGGAGGAGGGGGGGAAAAGGTGTTGCTTGAACGCGGGGGAGGGATCTGATCGTGGACGGCGCGGGGAATGTGTGCTGAGGGAATAGCGGGGCAACGACGGGCCCCAAAGTCATCGTTGCGAGAATTCGAGTGTCAATGGTCGATCGTCCTCACTATCGCATGACACCAGGCTCGAACATTACCCAGATCGCATGTGCATGATCCGAGGGCTGTTTCAAATATTAGGGTTGTGCACGCCTAGTTTACAAGCACAAATGACGGTCGAAACCCGCCTACGCGTATCATGGTCGACTCTCGTTCGGGCACGTATCAAAGTCGAGTACCCCCTCGGCACATACCAGGTTCGAATATCGCTTACCCACGTATCAGGCTCGAATATCACCATCCCCGAGCCAGGTTCAAATATCGCGCATCCATGCGCTAGGTTCGAGTTACGCCTACCCACGTACAAGGTTCCTGTATCGCCTACCTACGTAACAGGTTCGAGTAGCGCATAAGCACGCACCTGGTTCTGGACCAGATGAAACGGGAGCTCCGAACCCTCCACCGCCTCCCATCCTGCCCATCTCCGGGAAGCCATTGTTTATGGACATCTGACCACCCCCACCCGGACCCATGCTCGCCAGCCCGCCTGAAATCCCCCCACGATCGACTCTCTTGTCCGCCTGCCAACGGCGAATCGAAAAACCGAGATAAAACAAAGAGGGAGACGCAAGGACCGCCGATCGCAGGCAATCGACGGTGGTTAAGCATGGGAAGCAGCACGGGGGTAGGAAACGTGTGTTAGAAATAGTAAGCAGATGAGATAGCAAGCAAATGAGGTTTGATGATATACCCGGAGCTTCTCGATCTCCTGCGCCTTCTTCTTCATGAGGTCCTTGGTCTCGTTGATCTTGCTCAGCATGTCCGCCTTGTACTGCTTCTCCGCCGTGCTCTCCATCTCCGTGTACTGCTTCACCTGCGCTATAGTCACGTTCTCCTTGTGGCCCAGCGAAATGACCTCGTCGAACGCGAATATGAGCTCAAAGGCCATGTGACACACGGATTCCTCGTCCAATCCTGGACAGTATTCAGGTACCTGGGATGTCACGGAGATATGTGTAAGGGGACATTTATTTGGTGTTACACAGCCAGGAGACAGAAACTCATGAATCAGATCAGGTCACGACGCCGGGAACTCGGAATTTTAGATTGATACAGCATGAAGCAGGGAGCTTTGATGACTAGGGATCGACTTACGAGCTTCGATAGTAGGCGAAGAGTCTCGAGATCTTCTAAGATGTTGCTTTGCTTGTTCGTGACCAGCAGTAAATAGAGACCTTCGAGTGATTGATACACATATCGCACATTCTCGGTCTCGACGAACGTGTGCTGCTTCCCGCTTCCAATGAGTTTAGGGAAAGCTGCAAGCAACCCTTCGATGCGAATCCGAGCCATGTCTACGAATTGTCGAGCCACCAATGCTGCAGCAACCAACAAAATCCCACGCGAATGAGAATATGACGCTGGCTAAGAATAATCTAAAAAGTAAGGTTAGCTAAGTGATTAAGTTCTAGACTATTTGAGCAAGACAGGTGAATTTATGATAACATGCCTTTTCCCGTCTTGCTGATGATCGCAGCTGATAGGACCACCTGCACGAGAGAAACTAAGTCGTCAGTCTAAAGCGAGTGGAACAAGACACTACATGAACGCGTTACATACTGCGAATCTAACGCACCATCTTGCCAAGACCAGAGATGTGAGCTCAGACGTTGAGAATCAGGATCCAAACCCTTCCTATCCAAATCACAACCTAGCGAATCGGAAACCGGTAAAAAAACTGAATGGCGATGTGCCCTAATTAGTAACACGGAAATCGAAGACAAATCTACGCATTCCGCGATGCTAACACAGGCATTGCTAGATCAAGGAGGATCCTTAGTCGTGCAGTCGATCCTGCCGAATCAGTGAGCAGAACGACTAAAAACAGCCACCGTATTCAGAGGTGAGAGATGGCAGAAGCAGCAGCACCAGTTGACCAAACACGCAGATCTGCGATGCTCCTTGGACATTCCCTCCAGTAAGGAAGCAGGCAAACCAGCAGGAAGCGGGAAGGCTGGCTGTTGCATTGTCCCTCACAAGAATCTGGTGTGGCGGATGAAATCGAGGCTCGCGATGCACCGATTGGGTGGTAACACGAATTCGTTGAGACCTGAGAGACTGAAATTACTAATTTTCACCTAGAAATTTTGTTAAAAAACAGGTAAGAGTACTCATTTGCATGCTCTTCATAACACAAGGTTTCACATTGACTAGAATTTCATGCAGCACAGTAGACATAAAAGCAAATAAACTTCTCATTGCCCATATGCATGTTCATCCTACACTGGCACAAACTAGTATACCGTACTACATACGATTCCCACCCCTTCCCATCTTGCCTTTGCCCCCTCTACCTCCCCCTCTCCCACTCGAACTCGACCTTCCTCCACCCCTTCCCTTCCCTCCACCCCTCCCTCCACTCCCTCCCCTCCCTCTGCTCCCTCCCCTTCCTCCCCTCCCTCCACTCCCACCCCTTCCTCCAACCCCTCCTCTTCCTCCACCCCCTCCTCTCCCTCCACCTCCCCCTCTCCCTCCACCCCCTCCTCTCCCCCCGCCTCCTCTGGCAATGGCTGTTTGGCGCATCTTCCTAACCTCATCCACGCTGCGCAGCTCATCCCTCACTCGCCCACCCGCCCCTCCTCTGCCCGACATGCCTGCAGCACGGTGCGGTGGAGTGACAGGGGGTGATTGGGATTGACAGGGGGTGACAGGGGGTGACAGGGTAAGGAGGGATCCTTGGTTTCAAACATCAATGGGTGACAAGGGGTGAGAAGGGACGACAGGGTTGAGAACGTCTGTGTCTCAAACCCCACCACTCACCCCCATCCACCCATCCCCTCATTAACTCCCACCCATCGCACAATCAACTCCCACCGATGCCACTCACCTCTTCGGCTTCCTCTCCCCCCTCTTCCTCCACCCCTCCCCCTCGAGAATCCGCCAGCACCGTCAGCATCCTCGCCCGCGTCCAATCCAGCGCTGCCACGTGGCCCTCTGCCGCCCACGCGCATGTGCGTCTTCTCCTTCCACCGCTTGTAAATGCCCTTGCTGCCAGCACTCGTCTTGGTGCCGCTCTCCGTGCGCACCTGCCAAGGGCATCAGGGGCATCAGGGAAATGGAAGGAGCAATTTTTCAGTCACAAAATACGGTGTTCTGGGGAACCCACTCGCATGTGCGTCCTCTCCTCTCCTCTCCTTCCACCGCTTGTAAATGCCCTTGCTGCCCGCACTCGTGTTGGCGCCACTCTCCGTGCGCACCTGCCAGAAGCATCAGGGAAGTGGACTCATGGGGATCAAATGGACTTGAGCTTCTGAAAGCAAGAACTCATGGAGACGAGAGCAGAGAGCCGGTCGATCCTGCTTTGAAGAGCGAGTAACACTCGCACCACAAGGAAGAAGAGTGCAGAAGGCAATGGCAATTAGTCTGCAGTCACCCCTTGCCACACCAGCTCACCTTGCCTCACCAAGTATGGACTCACCCTTGCCACACCAAGTATGGACTCACCTTGCCTCACCAAGTATGGACTCACCCTTGCCACACCAAGTATGGACTCACCTTGCCTCACCAAGTATGGACTCACCCTTGCCACACCAGCTCACCTTGCCTCACCTACTATGGACTCACTCACCTTGCCCGATGGACCCAGGGTCTCCCCGGGGTTCAGCTTGATGTACTTCTTGCTCTTCTGCTCACATGCGAGCGGTGGGAAGGGGTGGAGGGGGGTGGGAGGCGTGGAAAGGGGCATTGTTGAAGGTGATTGTGCTTTTTCTAAATGAGTTCTTGCTTTGTTACTCCAATGCAAGGGGTAAGGACAGAATGTCGCATGAGGGTAGGCATGGTGGGGAAAGGAGGGGAGGGGTGGGTAGGGGAAGGAGGTTCAAGGGAGTATTGAGAGGCATTTAGGTAAATGGTGCACTGAGGTTTCTCGCCTGCTCACACACACAGTTGTGCTAGTGGTGGGGGAGGGAAGCGGGATGCTCGAATAAGTTCGTGAGGTGCATCATTGGTCAGTGGCCAGTGGTACACAGAAGCTTACAAAAATGCACACTGCATATAAAAAAAGAGCGCTGTACAATGCGCAAAGCTTCACTCTACCTATCAGGGAAAGGCAGATATTTCAAGTATTACAAAATCTTGTGAGTTATCCGTACTGTACGATAGAGAAAAAAAAGAAAAAAACAAACAAACAAACGAACAACTAATTCCACCGACAGGACAAGCCACTACGCAATATGAGATAAGCTGCATCATTCTTATTCTGAGTACAATATGTAAAATCTGTACGAAACACTGTACCTTATCCCAGTGAAACACTGATTTCCTCTTTTGGGCCCCTTCGCCATCATCAGGAGCCAGATCCAGCACCTCCGCCTCAAACCTGCAGGGGAGGACGGAGTATGGGGAGGTGGGGGAAGGGGGAGGGGGGAGGAGGAGTTGAACGGAAAGAGAGGGGGGGCTTTAGCGGCGACTCAAAGGCCTGCACTGTCATCAGGAGCCAGATCCAGCACCTCTGCCTCGAAGCTGCAGGGGAGAGGGGAGTGGGGAGGAAGAGGAAGAGAAATTGTGGTTGCTAACTATCAGGAGGAGGGCGAAGAAAGAGGGGGGGAGGGGGGGAAAGGGAGCATTGAGTGAAAGGGATCATTGTTGTATATAAAACACATGGCAGGGACATGAGAGAGGGTGGCAGGGACATGAGAGAGGGTGGCAGGGACATGAGAGAGGGTGGCAGGGACATGAGAGAGGGTGGCAGGGACATGAGAGAGGGTGGCAGGGACATGAGAGAGGGTGGCAGGGACATGAGAGAGGGTGGCAGGGACATGAGAGAGGGTGGCAGGGACATGAGAGGCAACGGCAGGCAGAGGTATGAGAGGGGACAGCAGGGGAATAGTAAGAAGTATGTCCACAGAACTTGCAAAGAGAAACCGCCGTCTCAAACCGTCTCCGCTAAATGAGATGAGATGAGGTGAGGTGAGGTGAGGTGAGGTGAGGTGAGGTGAGGTGAGGTGAGGTGAGGTGAGGTGAGGTGAGGTGAGGTGAGGTGGGACATACTTTTGCACTTCAGCTGAGAACTCGTTCTTGGGCCGCCCGTTGACTGAAAGACCGCTCTCCCAATGCTGGACGGTGGGAATGCAGAATAAAAAAGGAGAGCATATGTAACATGCTTCAATTTAAATATATATATATATATATACCTCTCTCTCTCTGTTTCCTTCCCCCGTGGGTGGTGGGTTGTTGGGGATGGGTGGCTTTGACAGGGAGTGTGTGAGTTGGATGTGTGGTTCTGGGTAAATGGGTGTGTGGGTCAGAAAGGTTTGGGTGTGTGGGTTGGATGGGTGGTTCTAGGTGGGTGGGTGCATGTATGGCATGGCATGCTGTGATGCATCCTGATGCTGTCAATCAAGACCAATGCATTTTAAAGCTCAAGGCCCAAATTGATCAACCTTAGTAAGGTTGACCTTTGGGCGGCGGGAGAGGAAGGAAGGTTGACTTTGTTGGAAGTTGGGTTGTTTAGTTTCGCCCGGCTTCGCGCTACACCCTCCCTCAGGGTTTTGCAGCAAAACCCAAGAATCTTGTGAGTGCAATTTGCTGACTAAGCAAACCCCAGGGAGCATGCAGGTTTGGTTCTCGAGTCCCAAATTGCACTCACAATATTCTTGGTGTTTCCTGCTCTCCGATTCGACCAGAAAATTGTGGCCAATCAGATTGCATCGCACTTATCGTAACCACAATTCGCAACCAACACAACACTCAAACAGCACTCCGATCAACATTAGTAAGCTTGCCCCGCACGCTTTGCAATTTGGGCCTAGAGCTTAAATGCATGGCATGGCATGGCATGGCATGCTGTGTGTTTTGCCATGCTGTGTGGCATGGCATGGCATTGCGGTGTTGTTGGGACCATGGCATAGTGTGGGAAGGCATGCTGTCGTTGTGAACTACCCATTCACTCATTCAATGTCTGTGCAATTTAGCAGCTTACCCTGTTGGGAGGGATATTGTTGATAAAGAACTGGTCATCCTTGAAGGTGGTTGGCTTCTCCCTCTTCGTCCCCCTCACCTGCCCGCCTCCCCCTCCCCCCTCCCCCTCCTTCCTCTTCCTCTTCCCAACACCCGCCTCCCCCTCTCCATCACTATCATCACCCATCTCCACCAAATCATCATCCTTCCCTCCCTCTTCCTCCATCCTCTCCCTCCAAAACACCATCAAATTCATCCGCTTCCCCTTCCTCGTCCTCCTCGTCCTCCTCTCCCTCCTCTCCCTCCTCTCCCTCCACTCCCTCATCTCCCTCCTCTCCCTCCTCTCCCTCCTCCGCCTCCTCTCCGTCCCCATCCTCCACCTCTCCCCCCACCTCATCATCCTCATCCCCATCGTCCCCCAGACCATGGCCCCACACCTCACGGCCCTCCGCCACCAGCTTGTCTCGCCGCTTGCTGATGGCTGTCTGGTGCGCCTCTCTCTTGGCCCGCATCACATCCAACCCCGCTGCTATGGGGCCCTGGGGTGAGGGCGGGAGGAAGATGGAGAGAGGCAATGAAGGGCAACGTAAGGAAGAAAGGAAAGGGTCAAAGGGGGGGAAAGCATTGCTGATGGCTGTCTGGTGCGCCTCCATCTTGGCCCGCATCACATCCAGCCCCGCTGCAATGGGGCCCTGGGGGGAGAAACGCAGGGAGGGGCAAGAGGAGGGACACGGAGAGAGGCAAGGGAGGGGAAGCAAGGGGGAAGGGAAAGGGGAAGGGAAGAGCGGGGAAGGATTTGTTTTGGTTGTGTAATGCACTCTCTCTTGGCTCGCATCACATCCAGCCCTGCGAATGTGGGCTCCTGGGGCGAGGGAGCGAGATGGTAGGGAAGATGGGAAACGCATATGGGGAAGATGGGAAACGCATATGGGGAAGATGGGAAACGCATATGGGGAAGATGGGAAACGCATATGGGGAAGATGGGAAACGCATATGGGGAAGATGGGAAACGCATATGGGGAAGATGGGAAACGCATATGGGGAAGATGGGAAACGCATATGGGGAAGATGGGAAACGCATATGGGGAAGATGGGAAACGCATATGGGGAAGATGGGAAACGCATATGGGGAAGATGGGAAACGCATATGGGGAAGATGGGAAACGCATATGGGGAAGATGGGAAACGCATATGGGGAAGATGGGAAACGCATATGGGGAAGATGGGAAACGCATATGGGGAAGATGGGAAACGCATATGGGGAAGATGGGAAACGCATATGGGGAAGATGGGAAACGCATATGGGGAAGATGGGAAACGCATATGGGGAAGATGGGAAACGCATATGGGGAAGGCCGATGCGCCCAGTACACACAGGCGGATAAGGACAAGGAAAGGGGGAAAGAGGATAAGGAAAAAGACGAATTGGAAAGGTCTCTTTCCTCTTTCCTCTCGTCTCTCCCCTCCTCTCTCCCTCTCCACTTCTCCCTCCTCTCCACTCTCCTCTGCCCTCTCTTTCCCTCTCCTCTCCTCTCATATCTCCTCTCTGCTATCCTAGATCCGTTCACATCTCTTCCCACCGCAACGCACCACTTTCTTCTTCGCCGTGGCAGCTTCTGCCTCGAGCTCCAGCACTGTCTGCTTCGGCCTGCGTTCATGCACAAGCATACGCACGTGCACATGTGCACACATACACACACACAAAACACATGCACACACACACACACACACACACACACACACACACACACAAAACGCATGCACGCGCACACCAAACACAAAACACATGCACACACGCATGCACAAAAAAACACATGCACAAACACAACACACACACACACACACAAAACACATGCACACACCCACACACACACACACAAAACGTGAACGTGAAGCAGTGAACGTGATAACGATTCAACCAGGCCCTGAGATCCTCAACCCTTCAATTCCTCCCTCTCTCCCGTTCCCATAATCATCCCTCTTTCTACCCAACCGTTTCCCCTGTTCCCTTCAGCCACCACACCCCACCGCCCCCCACATCGCACCCCACTGTCCACCACCGCTCCCCACCGCCGCTCTCACCTGAACTTTTTAAGGTGCTCGGCAACAGCAGCAGCAGCGGACTCCAGCCCGCCCACGCGATCCCTCAGCAGCAGGTGCACGCCCTCTCTCCCTGCCAGCGCCTTCCCCCCACTGCCCCTCAATGTCCCAACACCCAAAACCAGCCCCTACTGCCCCCCTCACCTGAACTTCTTAAGGTGTTCCGCGAAAGCAGCAGCAGCCGACTCCAGCCCGCCCACGCGCTCCCTCAGCAGCAGGTGCACGCCCTCCCTCCACCCCACTATCGTCCGCTGATAGTCACACACCCTGCCTGTTCTCTCACAGCAAGCATTGCCCACCTGCCTCTTCACACACCCGTCCCCATCCCTCTTCCCCCCACCGCCCCCCATCTCCCCCCTCACCTGAACTTCTTCAGATGCTCAGCAAAAGCAGCAGCAGCCGACTCCAGCCCGCCCACGCGCTCCCTCAGCAGCAGGTGCACGCCCTCCCTGCCCGCCAGCGCCTTGCTCCTCTTCGCACTCTCATTCGACGCAGCCGGCCGTGTCCTCAGATACAGCTTCATGGCCTTCCCAGCCACCTTCTGCAGCATCCCCACAGCCACACTTGAACTCTCCAGCTCCCTCAGCCGCTCCAAATAACGGTCCAGCTCGGTTTGAATGTATCTTCCGTAGACTGTTTCCCCCCGCTCCTGCGCTTCCCTCTCGGCCAATAGGCTCGCGCCACCTGTCGCCTCGATCTCGGAATCTAGTGGCGCCGGGCGGATGGGCTTGGAGAGGAAAAGGTGCAGGTCGAGCACAAAGGGCAGCTCTTCTGCAGTGAAAAAAGAATATGCGGTGCCCGAACGGCCCGCGCGCGCCGCTCGGCCTGCCCGATGCACGAAAAGTTTCGGCTTGGGCGGGAAGTCGAAGTTTATGACGTTGTCGAGGAGAGGGATGTCAATACCTCGAGCAGCAACGTCGGTCACGATGAGGAGAGATGTTCTGCCTGCCCGGAACTTGGCAATGTGGATTTTTCGGGCAGTTTGGTCCATGGCACCGTAAACTACTGAAGATGGTAACCGCTCAGATTGTAACACTTCGTGTAACAGCTCAGCATGATGCTTCGTTGCCACGAATATAATCGTCTGCTTTCCATTGCCCCTCCCAGCAAACCCCCTCCTTCTCCCTTCCCTTTCTCTTGCTTCATCCTCCCTTTCTTCTCCTAATTCTTCCTCATCCTCCCCCTCTTCCCTTATTTCCCTTCCTCCCCCACCTGCTGCCGCTGTCCCCACCTGAATAACCTCCTGAAGCAAATGCAGCAGGGCGGCCATTTTTTCATGCGGTCTGACCGTGAAAAAGCAAAGCGCCAGGTCTGGGCTCAGCTTCGTCTCCGTGTCCAATCGGATCAGCTGCGGCTCCCTCAAACCTGCCCGGGCGAACTCTGCGAGCATCTTGGGCAGCGTGGCCGAAAAAAGCAGCGTCTGGCGCGACTCGGGCATCCCGCGCAAAATTTCCTTCAGCTGGACGGCAAACCCCATCTCGAAAAGCCGGTCAGCCTCATCAAAAACAACGTACTCCACGGATTTCAGGCTCATGCCCTCCACCTCCGCAAGATGATGCATGAGCCTGCCAGGTGTCGCGACGAGAATGTCCGGATTGCGTGAGAGCGCCTCGAACTGCCCCTCCATGCTGTCTCCTCCCACCAGCACGGCCGCTCGCAGGTCGGTGAATTTCCCCAGCTCCTTGGTGAACTTGAACGTCTGTAAGGCCAGCTCTCTGGATGGGTGGTTTGGGAAGGTGGAGAAACAACAGGGGGGGACAAGCAGGGTTGAACACTCCGTACTCTCTGCTCGGCGCCTCTCCCACGCAGGTCGGTGAGTTTGCCCAGCTCCTTGGTGAACTTGAACGTCTGTAGGGCCAGCTCTCTGCAGAGGGGGGTTGCAGGAAGTGATGCGAGAGCAGGGGGCACAAGCCAGAATGAGAACGTGGGGGAGGGGGGATGCGGGCTGCCACGGTCCCATCCCATCATCCCAGAGCCTCCCTCCGAAGTATGTTTCCCCCCCACCAGCACGGCTGCTCGGAGGTCGGTGAATCTGCCCAACTCCTTGGTGAATTTGAACGTCTGTAGGGCCAGCTCCCTGGGTGAAAGGGTGGGTGGGTGGGTGGGTGGGTGGGTGGGTGTGTGGGTGGGTGGGACACATGGAGGCAAGCAGGCGATGAGCAGGAAGAGAAAGCAGTCAACCATACTGCTACCTGGTATCAGAACCACCCAACCCAACTCCTCGGTGAACCTGAACGCCTGTAGGTCCAGCTCTCGGGGTGGTGCGTGGGTGGGTGGGGCACGTGAGGAGGCAGGGAGGGAGGGATGAGCAGGAAAGAATGAGCGCCCAAGGCATGAAAAGAAGGCGTTCCCCCGCATTGGATGCTCCTCAAAATATCGTCTAATCTCCTCCTACAGTCCATGCCGTGCCGTCCGGAAATGTGAGTCTGTCGATCACCCTGGTGACCGTGACCACCTGCTCTCTGAGTGGGTGGTGGCGGAAATAAAGAAATCAAGGGACTAAACCTGCAAGGCAAATTTAGCAGGGAAAAGGAAGGAACAAGACTAGCCTTCTAGTTTCATTGGTGGCCGTTTTTCTAAGCCAGAATATCACTTCCACACGCGCCAATTAAAAAAAAAAAAAAACAAAACAAAAAAACAAAACAAAAAAAAACTCAGAAAAAACTGGTGGTAGTTGAACCCTGAACCCTTCAACACTACACCCGTCAACCCCTGAACCCTAGCCTCTGTTACTTGCTAATCCATGGACCATTCAGCTCAGTAAGAGCTGAGAGCGGCACGAAAGGCTAAACCCGGGTCCCTTTGGTCTATACGTCGCTAGCACCTCAACCCTTCATGCAGTGAGAGGGTTGAGGCAGCATGGTTAGCATCTCCACAGACTAGGCAGCGGCGGTAATACATTCTCTTAACTCCCCATTAAACTCAATGCGCATCCGCGCATTGAACCCCCTTGCGAAACGGTTCGAAAGACATCATAACGGTTCCACCAACGCCAAGTCGCTCCCCACTCCCACTCCCTCCTTCACCACCGTCACACCTCGTAGGAGAGAGAATCACGGCGCGAATCCCGCCCGTGTTCGAGTGCGCTTTGAGCCGCTCAATCATGGGAATGAGAAACGCCGCCGTTTTGCCGGACCCGGTGCGCGCCATGGCGACCACGTCCTGCCCCGCCAGCACCATCGGCAGCGTTCGCCGCTGGATTGGCGTCGGCACCTGGTAGCCCTTGCGCCGCACCGCGCGATACACGGCGGCACTCAGGCCCATGCTCTCGAATCCAAACGATTTCCCTTTCTTCTTCTTCGCGCCTTGCCCCGACACAGGAGCGAAGGCCATTCCGACGTCTTCTGACGGAAACATGCTTTCCGTTTCGCCCCCGTCCATCTGTTCTTAGAGCTCCAAGAAACAACCCGTCGACCTGGAAATGGTAATGGAAAGCAAATGGCGCTGAGAAGTGGTTTCAACCTGGTCGAGGGAAGAGGTTTGACGGATTGGGTTTTGCACTGTTGCACAAGTGCAGGAGAGTATGCTTGTTCCCTCTCTACCTTCTTCCACTTCCCTTCGTTTATGCTAGTCTAAGGTCTGACTTAGCATGCAGAAAATAATAATTGTACTAAGTCGAAATGAAAGTCTCCTATAATATACGAATAAATACCATAGCAAGATTGATTGGTGTACCTAACCTTTAGTTTGTTTATCTAATCACTAAGCCTCTCGGCGAGTTGTAGCTGAAAGCATTGTTCCTCCCCAACGAGTCACATGCTAGCGAATCTGAGATTTCCCAAACCCACTTCCTGCTATCATCTCTCCCTCATTTTCCCTCTTGATCGTCCCACTCCCAGTCCTAGCGGTCCCAGCAGCAGCAGTTTTAGGATTGAACGCCCGCCAGATGCGGAGAGACTCATCAGCCGAGAGGGAAGCTATGATGTCACCCTCAGGAGCCTGCCATGGAATGTAAACGAGGCACATTAGCGCATGTTAAGGGAAACAAATGCGTGAGTGCTTAGCTGTCGCTTACCTGCGCAGTTGACACCACACGCTCTTCATGCCCTTTAAGTCGGGCCAGCGGTACGAGAGAGGGGTACTTCCAAACGATCAGCTGGTTCTTGTTCGCTCCATGATACCCATGCGCGCTTACGATTTCACGATCCTTCTTGCTCCAGTGCAAGCCCGTGACCTGGAAAAACACAACGAAGGATTAGTGACTGAATTTATTCTCGAAAGTCAGAAAAACAAACGGGCCAGAGATTGATCCCAGTGTAAATTGCCATGTCAACCGTGCAATCGTTTACCTGCGACTCTGCGTCGACATGTTTCTCGCACCCGCCGGTCTGCGTGTTCCAAAACCGGATGGTGCAGTCGTTCGCACCGCCTCCCGTCGCGAGCAGGTGCGTTCGGAAAGGACACCACGCAAGAGCCTTAACCGCTCCGCGGTGATCCGCGAATCGATGAAGCAAAGGCACATGGGATCCCGTGGCACTAGTAGCAGCAGAGCTTGGGTTCGTCCTACGACGACCTTCTCCATCGCGGCGGCCAGCAGCGTCCGGTGCGATGGAAGACGACATGAGAGCTGTGTCCCAGATGTGCACGAGGTTGTCGTCTCCCCCGCTGGCGAGCTGGCGTCCAGACGGAGCCCACTTCAGCCCGCATACCCCCTCGGGATGGGCCATGAGACGCGAGACGATGTGCTCCCGGGCGCGAACTATTTAAGAAAGATAGGACGAATGTTAAGCTGGAACGTACGCTTCAAAAGAGCTGCTATTCACAAAGGTGGGTATTTTCTATCCGATTTGAGTGGACGTGCTGGTTGTGTGTTGCACAGGAAGACATGGCTTACCATCATGGTTGATGATTGTTCCAGCATTATCGCCGGTTGATAAGAGTGTCTTGTACCAGTCCAATGCACAAATAGGTCCCGAATGTCCCTTGAAGGTGCGGACCTGCAGTTTATGGCCAAGCAGCAGTCAGTCAGGATTCTCAAGAACGTGTACCTCAACAGACTGACTCGGGAGCGTTTGTAGCAGATACTGGCCTGTTTAGGGATGGAGACGTTCCAGACTTGGACTTCGGAATTGCTGACCCCTATCGCCAAGTGTACGCCATCAGGAGCCCAAGAGACTCCAGTCACATAGGGAGACTCTTCATCCTCCGTTTCAACAGTCATGAGCTCCATAGATTCATTCTTGCCGTTCCAAATAAACACTGAGGTTCCGATCGCTACAGCAACCAAGTTAGAGATGCTCCAATCTATCAATTGGAGGTAGAAGTTGTTCACCACTCCAGGCGCGTCCAGCGTCTTCTCTGCCACCTGAGAAAAAAAAAGTTTTAGAGTCAGTAATGCTTCACATAATATATCGTCGTTCTACATGTCATCAGAATAGTCACCTGAGGTATCACACGAGGAGGGGGCTGACATCCTGAAACGTCACTGCCTCTGGCCATTTTGGTGAAGCTGTCAATACCATTGTTTGACTCAGCAGGTGTCTTCACTTTGAATGATAGTACTCCTGGCTTCCTTGCCGAGTTTCCTTCTCCGTCGTCTAAACATCTCGACATCAGGCCTTCAAGTCGCTTTCGATAATTCTCCTGGTTATGAGAACACACATTGGAAAGTTGTTAGTTCATAAAAGTCAAGCGTGTCATCAATCATAACGGAATCACTTACAGAGCCTGGGGAAATGAGCTTCGTAGACTCTCTCTTGTCGAAACCACCACGAATTGCGAACGCTGAGACGTCCATATTCATGTAGCTGCGGCTTGGAATGAAACGGTCGCCCTGCAGCCAAACATTGGATTCAATCAGTTGTATGGACCTTTGGAAGGAATACAAGAAACGTGATTCCAAACCCATACCTCTGTCGACTTTGGGGTCGCGAATGGTGTTTTGGGCGTAATCCCAACCTTCTTATATGCTTTCTTCAGCGAAGGTACTGGCGTTGCTGTAGGTTTTGCCTTGAGGTGGCTGCATCCCGCCTTGACCAAGGATCCCGGCGCTTTCTGACCATATTTCCTGCTGGGTCCCGATCTGCATGACGAAGCTGGACCTCCTGTCTTTCCTGGGGTCTTAAACTTGCTCTTCAATAGAAATGGACTCCTTGTTGGCGTATCCATAATCGTGCTCATCGCTACGGCTAAGTCCATTTCAGTACGGCAGAGAAGCTAACCGAGGGCGCGTGAGCGTTGCTTGTACAAGCAAGCTTCTTGACAGCCTGTGAGAATTTGCTGTCCACTGATACTACCAACTGGAACGACGTTCGAGTGTGACTGATGCTTGTAGAGACCAGTTTCATCGTTGGAGTCAACCGAGCAGCTTCGGCCTCCTCAGCCAGGCTAAGAAGCCACTCACTGGTTCTCTGGGATTGCATGGTGTCCAGGCGCTGACAATGGCGGCGGAAAGGTATCCTCCCGCGTTCACGAGGAGTTGCTCTGAAAATGCATTTCCTGAAGTAAGCGCGGCGGACTTCGTGTGGTCAGAGCATACGCGATATTAGGTGATTCGATCGTTAAATATAAGGCATTTTAGCTGATAGAGGTATTTGTAGAATCATCCCTGATTTCGCAGTCAGTGTTTGTCGTCAGGTTTTGGTGTCCGGTTCAGTTGCTTGAGTTCAAACGCGGTGTTGTCCATCATCCAACGAGCTTTGAGGATTTGTGACCACAATCTGCCCGGCTTGGTCAGGGCAGATAAACCAAACCAACAAAGTGACGGCAAGTGACGGCCGGTGTCATAATGCGCAATCGACCAGCCGTGCTGAGGTAAGCAGCAACTCAAATCGTCAGACCGTTGGGAAAACCTGACGAGCGCCGCCTACATCCATTCGAGCAAGGGTGAGCCTCCATACAAGTTGTACATCAAGTAAACGAAAAATGTACTGTACCGTACAACCGGACACGCCCTTAGTTCCAGAAAGATACCTCGGTATTCTCCTTGCTGCGCCAACAACCAATCACAAGCAGCAGCGGCTTCCCGCCTCCACTCCTGTGCATCTATCTCCCAAGCCCAAGGGGAGAACCACCTCCCTCCACATCCTTCAGGATCATGTCCTGGCCTGAATCCTGATCGTGGAATTCATCTCCTGTGAGTCGCGTTTCCATCAGAGCATCAATTTCATCAGATTGTTGATTACAAGAGCATTCAGCCGCTCCTAATTTGGTTTGCTCTGTGACCTTCACGACAGAAGCACCCAACTGACGGAGTTGCGTCGGACGTTAGGGGAAGCAGCCTCTGCGCAACTTGCGATTGTTTATTACTGTTTTCTCATATCGTTACTGTCACTCTGAATCCATGGCGGAGGAGAAGGCTGGAAGCGGTTTCTATGCAGACATTGTCGACGGAGATGTGTATAAGTACTTCTCGCATGGCGAATGGAGAACGACAGCTTCAGGCCGAACAGTCAACATTATAAATCCTTGTACCCGTACTGTAGTGTACAGAGTTCAAGGTGAGCTGCTACTGATGCAACGGATCGCGCCACTAGGTTCACTGATTGATTTCGGACCAGCAATGCCGTTTCGCATCGTCTCGGTGGATAGCGATTATCTACGCGTTAAGTTCCTAACACCATCCCAATTCTCGCTTTCTTCACGCAGGGTGCATGCAAGAGGAGGTTGACGGCGTGTTCGAGAGCGCCAAGGTCGCGCAGAAGAAATGGGCCAAGACGCCGCTGTGGAAGCGCGCCGAGCTGCTGCACAAGGCCGCTCACATCCTTCGCGAACACAAGGACCCCATCGCCGACTGCCTCGTTAAAGAAGTCGCCAAGGCCAGAAAGGATTCCATTACCGAGGTGAGGCTTTAGACACCGCAACCGAGATGACGCATGGATACACGCCGTTACGGGGTGAAGGCTCACTGAGTAAGGTCTCCGTCACCGAGCAAGACTGAGCAACACTCCAACTTCATCAGCAACTTAATGAGACGTTTAGATACAGTCCCGTTAGTAAGTTGAAAGCTCACATTACTGGCGAGTGCATTGATTCTATCCCCGTTTACCCCATGAACGAGTTCGCCACGGCGACAAGGGAACTCCGTCACGCAAGACAATGCAAGGATTCGTATAGAGCTTTGTTACGTAGGTGACGGCTCACATAGTTCGAGAATGGATGGATTTCCTCTGCATCGACCTGCTGATCATACCAGAACACTTTGAACCTGTTCCCTACTTCATCCCCACCCTACTGTTAGCGTCCGTTGTTTTCGACTCACGGGCTAGAGCTTGCGAGCTATTGGTTGGGGCAAGCACCAAGGACTTGGAAAACCCTTCGCTAATCAACGTCATTCAAACCACCGTCATCCATATCAACGTCCTTCTAATCAACAAGCAACGCCGTTCCAACCCCAGGTGCTGCGATCAGCGGACTTCATATCGTACTGTGCGGAGGAGGGCGTGCGGCTGCTGGCTGAGGGCAAGTTCCTCACGGGCGACAGCTTCCCTGGCAACGACCGCACCAAGCTCTGCATGGCCTCCAAGGTGTGTGGGCGCATACGTGGGGTCCAAGGTGGGTGCAAAGCAGCCAAGGCGGTGGGTGGGTGCATGCGTGGCAGCCAATCTGAAATCATCTGAATCTATGTCACCTGCCGCGTACTATGGGCGTGGTCCTGTGCATCCGCCCTTCCCCCTCGCGACAGGGTTTACTTAACATCACCTGCATGCATTCTCGTGTGCCAGGTGCCGCTGGGAGTGGTGCTGTGCATCCCGCCCTTCAACTACCCTGTCAACCTCGCTGTCTCCAAGATCGCTCCTGCCCTCATTGCAGGCAACGCCGTCGTGCTCAAGCCTCCCACTCAGGTACTCACAGTTAAAGCCTCCCACTCAGGTACTCACAGTTAAAGCCTCCCACTCAGGTACTCACAGTTAAAGCCTCCCACTCAGGTACTCACAGTTAAAGCCTCCCACTCAGGTACTCACAGTTAAAGCCTCCCACTCAGGTACTCACAGTTAAAGCCTCCCACTCAGGTACTCACAGTTAAAGCCTCCCACTCAGGTACTCACAGTTAAAGCCTCCCACTCAGGTACTCACAGTTAAAGCCTCCCACTCAGGTACTCACAGTTAAGGCCTCCCACTCAGGTACTCACAGTTAGACTCCCACTCAGGTACTCACAGTTGAAGCCTCCCACTCAGGTACTTGCAGATTTTGAGACGTCTTAAAAGTCGCATTTTGGGACATCTCAAAAGTCGCAGGCAATGCCTTTGTGCTCAAGCCTCCCATTCAGGTACTTTCGTTTGAAGCATTCCCATTGTGCTGAGTATACATCCCTGAGCTTGTGCCGTGACCCATCCTCCATGCACAAGCGGCTATGAATGCCCATCAAACTCAAACCACAGCGCACTGTGGGAGGGCTACACATTTTGCGGTACTTTCATCCCTTATTCCCCCATTCCTCACCGCCCCATGCACTTACCTTGCCCCTGGTTGCCCCTCCAACTCCACCCATAGGGCGCGGTGGCAGGGCTGCACATGGTGCGGTGCTTCCAGGAGGCGGGGTTCCCCAAGGGGCTCATCAGCGCCGTCACTGGCAAGGGGTCTGACATTGGGGACTTCCTCACCATGCACCCCGCTGTTGACTGCATCACGTGAGTCAGTGAGAATGGGGGAGATGATGGCTTGACACGTGACAAGGGAACTGGAGGGGTGGTGGCTTGTTTTTCAACTGTATCCATGCGAAAGGGAGAGAGGCGAGAGATGAAATTTGCGGATATGTGCTTGGCCGCTATCGTCCCCCCAACCCCCTCTTCGTAACAGCTTCACCGGCAGGGACACCTTCTGTCGCAGCGCGGGCATGGTGCCGGTGCAGATGCAGCTGACTCGCCCCTGACCTTACCCGATATCTTCCAACCCGCTCTCCTGCCCACTCTCTCTTCCCGCAGCTTCACAGGCGGCGGCACGGGAATATCCATCGGTCGCAAGGCGGGCATGGTGCCGGTGCAGATGGAGCTGACTCGCCCCTGACCTTACCTGCTCTCTTCCAACCCTCTCTCTCCCCGACTCTCTCTCCCGGACTCTCTCTCCCCGCAGCTTCACAGGCGGCGACACGGGAATATCCATCTGTCGCAAGGCGGGCATGGTGCCGGTGCAGATGGAGCTGGGCGGCAAGGATGCCTGCATTGTGCTGCCCGATGCTGACCTCGACCTCGCTGCTGCTAACATCGTCAAAGGCGGCTTCTCCTACAGGTGAGCCAATACCAGCCAAGGTCACCAGGTAACCCTATCACCAGGTAAGCTTTTCACTAGACAAGCATGTCAGTAGGTAAGCGCCGCACCTGATAAGACCTTCATCGAATAAGCGCACCACCGGGTAAGCCTTTCACCAGGTAATGGTTTCTCCGTTTCCGGTCAACCCTTGTGTGACTGGATCCACTCTGCTCCTTCTGCTGCCCACATCTCAGCCATAACCGTTCTTCTGCCTCCGCTCCCTTCCCATCCTCCCCTCCTCAACCAATCACATCGCGACACGTCAGCGGCCAGCGGTGCACAGCGGTGAAGGTGGTGCTGGTGATGGAGGACGTGGCAGACGCGCTGGTGGAGCGGGTGAATGCCAGGCTGGCGAAGCTGACGGTGGGGCGGCCGGAGGACGATGCTGACATCACCCCCGTGGTCAGCGAGTCCAGTGCCAACTTCATAGAGGGGCTCGTGCTGGATGCCAAGGATAAGGGCGCGCTCTTCTGCCAGGTGGGTGTGTGAAGGCTTTTGTGTGCAGTACTGTGCGGCTGTGGGTGTGTGCATGTGGGTGGGTGGGTATGGTGTTGCATATCTGTGCCGTGTGTGGCTGGTTGTGTGTGCCGGTGGTCAGCTAGTCCAGTGCCAACTTCATTGAGGGGCTCGTGTTGGATGCCAAGGACAAGGGCGCACTGTTTTCCCAGGTGGGTGTGTGAGAGGGTGTGTGGGTGTGGCGTTGCGTGTCTGTATAGTGTTGTGCAGCTATGGTCAGGAAGCCCAGCGCCAACTTCAGTGAGGTGCCCATGCGGTGCTGGTCTTTATTGTGCGTGTGCTGGTTTGTGAGTGGGAGTGTGCTGGTTTTGTGACTGTGATTGTTGCACAATCATTGAGCAACCAACCTTGTCTCCCGCTCCCGCTCCCATCTCCCTCACTAGGAGAACAGCAAAAGAGTAACAACGTTTCGTCTCTACTCAAAGGCGATCTCCGCCCTGGCAAACATGCGGCTGGCATGGGCGGAGTATCCCTCACATCACATCTGCTCCTCTCTCCTTTGCACGTCCCGCTCTTCCCTCCCTTTCCACGTCATCAGAAGTACAAGCACGAGGGCAACCGCATCTGGCAAACCACGTGCGGTCCGACATGCGGCTGGCGTGGAGAGAGTATCCACTCACACATGCCTGTCTCTCCTGCTCGCATTCCCCTCATCCCCTGTTCCTTTCCCCCAGGAGTACAAGCGTGAGGGCAACCTCATCTGGCCACTCCTTATCGACCACGTGCGGCCGGACATGCGGCTGGCATGGGAGGAGCCGTTTGGCCCTGTTGTGCCGGTGATCCGCATCACCACGGTGGAGGAGGGCGTGCATCATTGCAATGCCAGCACATTCGCCCTGCAGGTTCGTGTCTGTGCGTGTGCTGGCTTCACAGTGCAGGTATGTGTGTGCGGGAGTGGGTCTGTGAGCAATCAGTTATGAGTGGTGCCGGTGATCTGCATCACCACGGTGGAGGAGGGCGTGCACCACTGCAACGCCAGCACCTTCGCCCTGCAGGTTAGTCGTGTGTGTGAGAGTACATGTGTGTGTATAAGTGCATGTATGTGCATGAGTGCGTGTGTGTGCATGAGTGCGTGTGTGTGCATGAGTGCATGTGTGTGCGCGAGTGAGAGAATGGAGGGCGCACACATGATGGAAGCACATAGTATTGAAGGGAAGGGCATGTGATGGAGGCATGCAGCAATACCCCCTTGGACCCACAGCACATGCTGTAATCTCTACTCTCTTCCCTCCCTCCACTCCTAAATGTACCTGCCTCTTCTCTCCTCCCCCCTCCCCATCGTATGAAAACTGTGTGTTGACGTGGGGTATTAGCAAGCTCATCACGACTAGCCTGCAGGGCGAAGGCGTCATGGAGACGGACCGTCAGCACACCGACCCACTCGCTTATGACGTGTGCCACCACGCCCCACTCTCTCCCCCTCCTCCATATCCCCCTGATCCCTCCAGGGATGTGTGTTCACGAGGGACATCAACAAGGCCATCATGATTGCAGACGCCATGGAGACCGGCACAGTGCAGATCAACGCAGCGCCTGCCAGAGGGCCCGACCACTTCCCCTTCCAGGTCAGCCGCCTCTTGCTGCCGTTAGTGCATGTCATTGCTGGCTTATGCTAGCACGCTGGATTCGTGTGCGCGTTGATGCTCATGCGTGTGGCCCCTGTTATAGGGCTCGGTGACTTCCCTTTCCAGGTGACCCACCTCCTGCTGCCATGACTATTTGCATGCATGTGGCTTATGCTAGTTAGTAGCTTGCTTCATGTATGCGCTTGTAATGTCCCATGTGATTGTATGCACGCTGATTGTCCAAGTGCCTCCTTTTCTTTTCAGTGCGCTCACCATTGCTCGTTCATCTTCCCCACTTCACCTCCCCACTGCACCTCCCCTTCTGTTGACCCCTTTTCACACTGCATCCATCTGTCCCTCTTTCCTCCTGCCCTTCCCTTTCCTTCAGGGTTTCCGGGAGAGTGGCATAGGATCACAGGGTGTCACCAACAGCATTCTCATGATGACCAAAGTCAAATCAACGGTCATCAACCTCCCTGCTCCATCCTATGCGATGGCCTAGATTGGGAGTAAGATTATAACGATCAACCCCGTTGCAGCCTCGGACATCGCGGCCTACATGTGCGTAGTGCACCCCGGGTAGATATTCGTAGTTTGTACTTTCTGTCTAACCCTAAGCTGTTGCTATATTTAGAACACATGCATCTTCAAGGTGGTGTGGTGATCCAACCAAACCGTAATAAAGTGCGCATCATCCTACTCAAGCACAACAGGTCAACATAAATGTACAGCTTGGATCTGCCTCTAATAAATGTGGAGGTAAGGAGTAGACACCTGTTTAAAAAACAAGGGGAATAAAATGATGGTGATCGATCACAGCAGGCTTCCTCCCTGAATAACCTCCTGCTGCAGGGGCTTTGTCATATCATATACCTATTATTACTTTGTCAATGCTGTTAATGCCATAGATTTGATTTATATGTCTCCAAATTTTCAGGAACATCACTTTGCTTCACATGGTACAACCTAATATTGGTGTTCCTGCTGACCACGGCCCTGTAGATAACAAAAAACACTTGAAGCTCTCGCCCTTCAGAGTCATTCCCATCGTCGCACCATCGTGTGTGCAGTGCACAGGTGTTCCTTCTCCACCTTTCAAGTGGGTCCACGTGGGTAGGCGCCTTCGAATCCAACTTGTTAACAAACACCTTGAACTTTTGCCCCTTGGCGCAGTCGATCCCAGCGGAGCTAGCGAAGTAGACCCACATGCCGCGGTACTTGTCAGGGATCTTGTACGCCACCGTGCCCTTCTTCGCCTGCGCTGCCAGGCGCTCCGACTTGCTCGCGAGGGCACAGCTGGTCCATGATGCCTTGGAGAACAGCTGCACCACGTCGTCCACCGTGTTGGGGCTCGCCCACTTGAACTCTGGAAGTGGGAGTGGGGAGAGTGGGTTGGATTGGGTGTGCTGGGTGTGTTGGGAGTGTGAAGGGTCACAGCTGGTCCATGATGCCTTGGAGAACAGCTGCACCACGTCGTCTACTGTGTTGGGGCTCGCCCACTTGAACTCTGGATGGGGGAGTGGGGAGAGGAGAGGGGCGGGACGGGAGTGGTGGGTGCGTGCGTACAGCTGCACCACATGGTCGACTGTGTTGGGGCTTGACCACTGGAACTCTGGAAGGGGGAGGGGGGAAGGGAGGAGAGCTCCCACTTGGTCGCAAGGTCGCAGCTGGTCCAAGCCACCTTGGAGAGCAGCTGCACCACGTCATCTACTGTGTTGGCGCTCGGCCACTTGAACTCTGGCGGAGGGAGTGGAGTGGGGGAGAGCGGGGAGGGATGGGTGTGGTGGGTGTGTGGGGGGTCGCAGCTCATCCACGCCGCCTTAAAGAACAGCCGCACTTGAACTCTGCATGAGGGGGTAGGGGGAGTGTAAGAGGGAAGTGCTAAGTTGTGAGGTCGCAGCTGGTCCAAGCCGCCTTGGAGAACAGCCACACCACGTCATTTTCCGTGTTGGCGCTCGCCCACTTGAACTCTGCATGAGGGGGTAGGGGGGGTGTAAGAGGGAAGTGTTGAGTTGTGAGGTATTGTGCAATAATCAAAAACAGTCTTGCCATGCGACATCTCAAGTAGGTCTGGCCTGGTGTGATCTTGTGCAAGAAACAGTACGTTCATGTGATATTCTACGTAGGTCCAATCTATTAAGCCGCTGCACGCACCGAGCGTGTCGCCGACGTAGATCTTCATGGGCGGCTCGATGGTGGAGATGCCCCACGTCCACGGCGACTTGGTCCGCGCCAGCCCCACCGTGTACTTGATGGGCTTGCGCACCTGATATTACGGATGTGTGAAGAGGGTGTGTTGGGGGTGGGGGGGAGGGGGGAGGGCGTGTGCGTGGATGGCGGAGATTCCCCGTGTCCAGGGGGAGGTGCTGCGCGCCAGCCGCACTGAGTTGTGTACTTGATGGGCTTGCGCACCTGATGGAGGGGGTGTGAGAGAGGGTGTGTTGGTGCGTGTGCGTGTATGCGTGTGTGTGTGTGTGTGGGGTGGGTGGTGGGACACAGTTACAGCAATCGTTGGTGACATGTCTTGTCAGCAGCAGATCATGCCACTAAGATGCTGGACTGACCAACAGAGGGATCGCTACTTATAAGCCACCTTAGAAGCCATAGTGGTTCTGTATAATTGATCATCCATCTAGTATTGCCGCCAGTCTTTAGGAACACCTTGTTACATCGTGAGGCCAGATGTTCAGATGACGTGGAAGCATTTGTGGGCTCCGCGATGGAGTACACGTGGCGTGTGACTGAACCTTATCGCACCAGCGATGCCACGTGGCATGCGACTGAACCGTGATCGCACCTGCGACTCCACCGCGTCTGAAGCCGCCACGATTGGTTCGGTGTGATGACCCCACGGACGAACCGCCCCCACGGAGCGTTGCGATTGGTGGATAGGTTGCCCGTCGCCGCGCATCGTCGGTCGGAGGCGAGCACGCGGAGGGGTTCGCGGTCCGCGCAGGAGAGCGGTTGGGCCGTGGGGGAAGGGGGAAAGGGGGAACGGAGGAAGGCGGGAAAGGGAAGGGCGAAAGGAAAAGGGGGGAAGGGGGAAAGGAGGAAGGGGAGAGGAAGACGGGGATGGCAGGAGAGCAATCGGTTTGTGGTGTTTCGAAGAGCATCTCACGGAAACGAACCCGCAGGACCTGGGGGAAAGGAGGGGTAGGGTGGGGGAGTCGAAGGGGAGGAAGACGCGGGAGCGACGGGGAGAAAGGGGGAGGGGGAAGTGGAGGGGAAGGGGAGGGGTAAGGAGAGGGGGAGACAGGTGTGGTAATGGAGGATAAAGACTCGAAACGAGTGTTCATAAGGAAAGGGTAAGCACGGACCGCATGAATTTCGATGCATGTTCCTAGGCTCCGCGAAACACGGACTATGGAGGCCTCAGGAGACATGTGGGGGTTAGTGTCGCCGGTCGAGACTCTACTAGACTCTGAGGAAGTCCCTAACAGGCTGTAGGCTACTCACGGGGTGCGAGGAAGACGGTAACGAGGACAAGAAGACACCAGGCTCGTACTCCAGCCATGGCGACGGACTTAAACTTGAAGGTTACACGGCGTGTTTGCGTAACGAGAGCTTTTCTCAGTGTGCGACGATTGCTTCAGTCAATGTGCGCGCCACTGCAGGTTGGCTACTTCTAGGGGAGATACTTAAAGTCGTGAAGGCGGAGCTAAATAGGAGGCTCGATAGGAGTCGCTTACTCAATCGTCCACGGCAAAAGGTAACCTTGCAGAGTGTGATCACTTATGTGCGAGAATGCGGAAAAGGGATGGTTGCGTGCGAGTGTTTGTTGAGCAAGTGATTCAAAGCCTACCTGCTCACTACACTACACATGATGTGCCACCAGCAGCAGCAGCCCCATTTTCAGATTTGCCCCGCACGAACGACAAACCATTGAAGGTGACCGACTCGCGCAAAGACGACCTTCCACGAAAAGAACGACGAGCGGAAACAGTTTCGCTGGAATCGTTCTCCAGCGTGACGTATTCTGCGAAACAGAACTGGTTTCGTTGTAGCGAATCTGGGAGAACCTGCTGAAGCACGCGAAAATTGCGGACAGGCGAAAACCGACCAAAAATCACCGACCAATCAGCAGAATACTGTAGTGTACGTTACCAGGGCCAGGTGACACCAGCCCCAGGTGCCCCCAGCAATCACGATATGCCAGATCCGTGCGGTTTCACCTGTGGATATGTACTCGTTATATAAAAGCGAAATGGAGTTATGGAGAGAGATTATATACTGGTAAATGAGCAAGCGAAATGGAGTTATGGAGAATGCATTGCCTTATACACAGAGTGTAAATATTTTTTGGCATGCGCGTGAAACAAGCAAGCTTGGTAGAAAAAAACAGCCAAGCAGATTCACACTCCCCTAACAACCACTCCAGCACGAAGCAACTCCCGGCGAGCCCTTTCAGAAACCTTGTCCCCTTCCACCTCCAAATATTGCAGCCTTGGCACGTTCCCCAGCAGCCTGCCAATAGCATCAGCAGTGATTCCACCGCAACCCACCACACTCAACCGATTTAACACCTCCAGTCGACTTCCTGCTATCACGCTGCCTGAGAAGCCATCACAGCCTTGCACCCTTAGATCCTCCAGCATGCCACATGCACGAAGCAGCTCCACCAGCTGCCCCTCCTCCAGCCCACAGCAGTTCAAGAGAGCCAGGCTCTTGAGCCTTCCACACACAGCAGCTCGTGCTAACGACTCAAAGGTCTGTCGTTTGGTACTCATTCTTGGGATAGTAGAGGAGGGGGGCGTCGAAGAAGGGACGGAAGGGAAGGATGTGGTGGGGGGAAAGGGGCACATGAGGGGAGAGGCAGAGGGGAGGGAGGGTAGCCCGGAAGGGTCACAGGTGGAGACGAAGCGGATGGAGTCAAGGGTCAGCGACTCCAGTGGGGGGGAGAGCACCTCCACAGGAGTCGCCAGTGTGCTCGTCTTTGAAACTGTTCTTGGGGGGTGCGCTCCCTTGTGGAGGTGGGCGGGTTGAGCTTCTGCCGCCCAGCTGCTTGGCCCGTGGCAGCTGCTCGAATGCTCCTGCTGCTCTCACGTCCTCTCCCACAGCCCCTCTTGCTTCTCCTTCTGCGCTTCTTGGATCCTGTGCCGCTGTCCCTTCTGTCGCTGTACCTTCTGCCGCCATCCCTTCTGCTGCTGCCCCTTCTGCCGCTGCCCCTTCTGCTGCTGCCCCTTCTGCTGCTGCCCCTTCTGCCGCTGCCCCTTCTGCTGCTGCCCCTTCTGCTGCTGCCCCTTCTGCCGCTGCCCCTTCTGCCGCTGCCCCTTCTGCCGCTGCCCCTTCTGCTGCTCCATGCACTGCCGGCCCAGGAACAGCTGCCGCTGCTCCAGCTCCCGCTGCTGCGGTGACCAACCCTCCTGCCGCTGCCCCAGGCACTGCTGCCAGCACGGGAACTATTGCCAGTCCGGGCAGTATTGCGGGGTGGGGCTGTGCAGGATCATGGATCTCAAAGCGGGCGCCCATGTCCTCCATCTCCAGCAGCACCAGCTCCATCAGCGCGTGCAGCAGCTCCCGTGCGTCGGCTCGCGGCACCACCACCCACGCCAGCAGCTTCTCACTCACGGCCGCCAGATCATCTTCCAGGTCATCCTCGGGCATGTATCGCACCACCTCCTCCACATCAATCCCTTGCCCTCCCCTCCCCTCCTCGTCATCCCTCTCCGGCTCCACCCCCACTTCCTCCTCCACTTCCTCCTCCACAGCAGCAGTGAAGACGCCTGCGGCCTCGGCAGCACGACAGGCCTTTGCAAGTGCCGCCTCGCGTGCACTCCAGCCTTTCATTTCGGCCTTAGCCAGGCGCACGCAGCGGCACACCAGGATGGCGGAGCGCACCTGAACGACAGCCTGGGAGATGAAATCGAGAGCCCCCACCCCGTGGTGCAAGCGGCGCCAGCGCAGCGCCTCTGTGGCGGCCTTCTTGAGCTTCCACTTGGACGTCTCGGTGAGCGCCATCCAGTTGTCCATTGCTGCCACAAACTCAGCACGCCCTGCTGCTGCTTCCTTGCGCAAATCCACGTACCGTCGCCTCCTGCTGCTGCAGACCACCGGCGTGGCAGCTGCTGCAGGCGATACCAGTCGTCGCCCTCCTCTGCTTCAGCCGTCATTGCCTCTACTTCATCTTCTGTTTCTGCTTCCCCTGCTGCTGCTGCTGCTGCTGCTGCTGCTTCCCCAACCATCGCCCCTTTCCACCTCTCCACTCCATCGCCGCCTCCCTCCGGTCCTTCAGGAGCCCCCAACTGCTCCACGCGCACCAGCATGGCCACAATGCAATCCAGAGACGGCTTCTGTGGCGACTCAGACGGCAGGATAGTCCCCCTCGCCGCCTCCCTTCCTCTCAGCGTCAGACACTGCAGGCTGCTGCAGCGTGCAAGCATGCCCGGGCGGTACGAGGGCAGCCCGGAGAGAGTGAGGGTGTGCAGGCGGGAGGAGGAGGAGAGGAAGAGATCCCGAAGGCTGCGTGCGATGAAGAGGAAGTGGGAGGTGGAGTGTAGGGAGAGGGAGGCGAGCGCGGGGTTGCTTTCAGCGAGCGCTGCGAGGGAGTGGCTGGGAATCATGGGGCAGTCGTGGACCGCCAGATGGGTGAGCGTGTGCAGCGAGCGAGCGAGCGCGTGCAGGTCGCAGGGATCGATGGTGCAGGAGAGGAAGGAGAGAGAGGCGAGGCGAGAGAAAGAGGTGAGGGGCGTGAGGGCGGTTTCCAGCCAGGCATTGTGGATGGTGAGGGAGGTGAGGGAGCGGTGGAGAGGGGTGGAGGGGGATGCGAGGGAGTGGAGGGCGAAAGCGTCGGGGTGCCAGAGGGCGAGCGAGGTGAGCGAGGAGCAGAGGGCGATGCAGCGGTGGTGCGCAGGCACGAAGAGGAGGGAGAGAGATCGCAGTGAGGGGAAGGTGTGCACTGGGGGAGGCAGAGGGTCGGTGTAGGCGAAGTGGCACTCGAGCTCCAGTGACGTCATGTGGCTGATGTGCGGCGGAGAGGAGCGGAGGCGGACGAGGAGAGGAGGCGGACGAGGTGGGGGAACAGAGATTGGGGGAAGAGGGGTGCAGGGGGGTATGATTGTGTGACGAATGCGGTTTTACACTAAGAGTTGAACAGGCTACCGCTCTTTTTGAACAACCACCGTTTAGGCCCAGAGGCCTAGCAGGGCGTCATGGGTTGGGTAATTGGCGGAGACATGAGACAAGTAGAGGTGCTGCTATGCAGTGAAGGAATTGGTTCAAAGGCTTGGAGAGGAGGGAGAGGAAGGGGTGAAGGGAACACAGGTGGACAGGATGCGAGAGGCTAAGCGAGTGGGGCCGGAGTCATGGCGCGGGAGCGGCAAAGAGAACAGACACGCGGCGAAGAGAACAGACATGCGCGGTGCACATGCAATGAAAAATCGGCGGCGAATGAGGGTGTGGCGAATCCGTGTTGGCGAAGGTGATAGAGGTTCGTACGATGGAAAGCAAAACGACGTGGGGTAGCAGAGACAAATGATTCTGCGCAGGGCAGTACTTACAAAATACGAACCTGCTAGAGAGTAAAGGAGAGAATGAACGAAACCACGTATACGAGGAGCCGTCGCGGCGCGGAACCAGAACCACTCGCTCACCCACTCACTCACTCACTCACTCACTCACTCACGGGCATTGCGTGGCGAACTTCCTCCACGTCGCGGGGCTGATCTGAAAGCGGGCACGCGCCGACACGAGCTTCAGCCTCTCCAGTTGCGGCCACCCCGCGCCAATTCCGCCCAGCAGATGGTCCAGGGTGCCGCAACTAACCTCCACCGTGAGGTCGATTATATGGGTAAATACCCCAGAATAAACGTCGAGGTTCTTCAGCCATTCTCGGGCAGTGACGCCCTGTTCTTTCGCGAAGAAGTGGAGGCGGAGCGAGTGGGTCGTGCAGTGGGAGAGGCGGCGGAGGTGGGAGCAGGAGAGGGCGAGGCTGCAGCGGTCGCGCGGATGGTCGACGCGCGCGACAATGGGGTGGAGAAGCTCGTCGGGTAATGAAAGCAGGCGCGAGCTCTCGCGACCGCGCGCACCCTTCATCGCCGCGCGGTAAGGGTTTTGTTAAGGGCAAAGTGCAACTTCTTATGGACAGTAGCAGGACAAAACTGGCAGGTGTGTAACGGGACTCCTATTGGACCAAGAAGTTGGAATCGCACTACACGACGTACCCTCTCACCAGTAAGCTGCGTCCGTGAACCTGCTTGATGCGACGAACACGAACGTACGGTACCTGAGGCGGATTTGGCGTCTGGTGCTTTAGCTCGCTCACAATTCTAGTAGCGCGTTTCGGGTCTGGCCCTCTGTCTTCTTGACACACCCCTCCCTCTCCCACGCGACGACATACACCCTGGTTCTCGCCATAGTAGATTTCGATATAGTGGATTCCAGAGTGAAAAAGAACGGTTAGGGGTGGTTTGATTATCACCCCAGGGCTTATTTTGTTGACTAGAAAAAACTTATGCGCTGAATCTCCAATTTTATGGGAAAGGGCACACTTTTATTATGATTGTCATTAGTGGGGATCTCCACGAATTGGGTAGGGGCTTTTACCGTGATTGAAAAAAAAACAAGATGTTAGAATTGAACAATAGTGAATGCACTAGAAAAGTGTTGGGTACAAGTAGGAAACCCTAAACTTACTGTACCCCATAGTAACTATCCCACTACAGCCTAAACAAACTGTAGCAGATATAACATTTGACACACCCCCATCGGCAAAGTGGGGGAGAGCAAGGGGTCACAAGACCAGTCAAGAAAGGCAAAGCAAGCTCAGGGTGGATCACAACGTCACCACACACTCTGAGCACAAACAAAGGGCCACAAGGCCAGTTCACATGCAGAGGCATATATGCAACACAAACAGCACAGTGATCTCTACCGAGCAAGGCAAGCATGGAGGTATATATATAGATCACAGTACAAGCAAAGTCTACAGCAAGTGAGGAAAAGTGGGCACAAGGCCTAAAAAAGTGCAGAAACGCTGATGATCACTAGACGGAAGTGCCTTGGTGAATATATCAGCGGTGTTGGCCTGAGTGGCCACGTAACGCAGACGAAGCTGACCACGCTGCTGCAGCTCTCGAGCCAGGAAGTAACGCAGAGCGATGTGCTTCGTTCTGTGTTCCAGTCTGTGCTCCTCACACAAGGCAATGGCAGCCTTGTTGTCGACGTATAGCACTGGAGGAGAACGAGGCCGCTCTCCCAAGTCGGTCAGCAGGTAGGTCAGCGAGCGTAGCTCCTGTGCAGCCATGGCTGTGGCGTAGATCTCAGCCTCACAACTGGAGCTGAGAACTGAAGACGAGCGAGTAGAACGCCAAGAAACTGAACCAGAGCCAAGGCTGAAGGTGTAACCCTGTGACGACCGCTGAGTAGCCTGGTCGTCAACCCAAGAAGCGTCTGAGTGCCCAGTGAGAACAACTGAGCTCCCCCCTTCAAGCACGAGCCCCATGCCTGACGTACTGCACAAGTAGCGCAGTACCCTCTTAGCAGCATCCATGTGCACCTTTCGGTGCCGACCAGGAGCCATGTAGCGAGCCAGAAGGCCAAGAGGGTACGCGAGGTCAGGACGAGTGCAAGTCATCAGGTACATGAGGCAGCCTACTAGCTCTGGGTAAGGACCACTCGGCTCTACGGACTCGTCCGAAGGTGGAGCTGAGAGCGAGTGACCTGTAGCCAGAGGAGTCGGCTGTGCTGAGGACCAGGTGAAGCCGAAGCGCTGAAGGACCTGCTGCACCATGTGTGACTGAGTCAGTTTGATGGTGCGGCGTGCTCTGTCCCGGGTGATCTGCAAGCCAAGGTAGCTACGCAGTTCACCCAGGTCAGTGCAGTTGTGTCGCTTCTGCAGCTTCGACTTCACCTGGGCGAGAGCCTCAGTGTCAGCAGTGGCAAAGACCAAGTCGTCGACGTACACGAGGATGAAGAACGGCGGCAGCGAAGTGTCGGTGCGCAGAAACAGCGACGGGTCAGCAGTAGACGGCGCGAACCCAAGAGCCGCAAGTGTAGTCCTCAGTGTGTCATGGCACTCACGTGGCGCCTGGCGGAAACCGTAGACTGGCCGACGAAGGCTCCACTGGGTACCAGGAGGAAACGACCCAGTGAAGCCAGGAGGGCGGCGCAGCCAGATCTCCTCGTGCAGGCTACCCTGCAAGAAAGCTGTGCTTAAGTCAAGAGAGTGAAGCTCGTAGTCACGCTGAGCGGCAACGTGCAGTAGCACCCGAAGAGTGGTCATCTTCGGGGTGGGGGAGAAGGTCATAGAAGAAGTCTACTCCCTCTCGCTGACTGAAGCCTTGAGCAACGTAACGAGCCTTGAAGACAGGCGGAGAACCTGGCGGCCGCTTCACCCTGAAAATCCACATGCCACTGACGATGTTCGCCCCAGGGGGGGGAACCTCGTCGACGTAAGTGCCAGTGGACTTCCAGGATGCCATCTCTACGTCCATGGCTGCCTGCCACTGAGAGGAGTACTCACCCGCGATCGCCTCAGCGTAAGAGCGCGGGGTCGGGATGTCTGGTGCATCCGGGTCTCCCTCAGGGGCAATCAGCATGGACACAAGATGAGGTACAGCGGCGGCAAAGCACTCAAACTCCTCCTGCCTGTCCTCAAGGACGTTCGTGCCAAGAGCACACTCACCCCCGACGGACGGAGGACAGACAGACTCAGACTCACACTCAGTAACAAGACTGGCAGCGTAGTCTAGACGACAGTGAGCAGCAAAGTCGACAAGCTCAGCAACTAAGGCAGACGCAGCAGCTGACTCAAAGGAAGGGTCAGTGACAGTAGTGGCCAGGAGACGCGTGACAGTAGGACTAGCAGCACGAAGAGAGTCAGACTCCGGGTCAGCAAGGGCAGGAAGAGAGGACGCAGGAGGAGAAGGCAGAGGGACACGCTGTGGAGCAGTGGAAGGACGAAGCGTCATCTGGTGGGTGCCTGGGACAGCAGGAGGACGCTGACTCGGGACACGACGACCAGTGCGAGCAGCACGAACAGGTGACGCAGAACGAGACTCAGGCGACACAGGACGAGACGCAGGCTCACGACGCTCCGTAAGACCTCCTGTCGGACTAGTGTAGGGAGAAGGACCAGGGAGTGGCGAGGCAGGTTGTAACTGTGACTGCGACTGGACAGGTGGAGGACACTCTAAGGAGGGAGCAGGACAAGGAGGAGGCGGCTGACCAAGAACCTGCTGAAGGAGCGGAACGAAGTACGGCCGCAGCCGTAAAGCGCCCCCAGAACCAGCAGAGACAGCACCAGAACCCCCTGCAGTAGCTCCAACCCCTGCAGCACCACCAGCAGCTCCAGTAGCGCCAACTCCGGGACCCCCAGTAGCACCAGCTCCAGCCGCACCATCGGCTCCAGTACCAGTAGCACCTCCAGCAGCTCCAGTAGTACCCCCAGTCCCAGCAGCTCCAGTACCACCAGCACGAGCACCTCCAGGACCAGTGGCTCCAGCACCTCCTGCGCCAACCCCAGGGTCAGCAGCTACACCAACTCCAGTAGGCCCAGCGTCCTCAGCTCCAGCTCCAGTAGCACCTCCAGCGCCCACAACACCACGGCGGTGGCGACAGTACCGAGAGTACCACTCACGCAGCTGCTGGGAAGAGAGAGCGCCCCCAGGCACAGCAACCCCAGGCTCAGGACCTCCAGGCTCAGGACCACCAGGCTCAGCTCGCTCAGGCTCAGCACGCTCAGGACCTCGCGCAGGACCAGAGTCGACAGCTACCTCGACAGGCTCGACCGGGTCTATCTGGGAAACACCAGAGGGAGCAGGACCCTGGGGAGGTAGGGGGTCTACCGAAGCAGCACCTGGCGTGAGGAAGAGCGGCGGAGGGGGGAGCGGGGCAGTGCGGTAGGGGAAGAGACGGTAAAAGGGGATCGACTCGTCAAACGTGACGTCCTGAGAGGGGAAGACACGGCGCGAGGTGGGGTGGTAAAACTGCCAGCTAGGCGCGTCAGGGACAAAGC